TTGTTTATCAGAAAGATTGCATAATCTGTATGAATGTCACTAAATATAAGCCATTTTATGTTAACACTTTATGAGGCACTTTCAGTCTTAATTTCTTACACAAGTAAAGGCAAGCCAGCATCCTACTCCTGCCCTTTCTGTTACTGATATCTCCTCTGTTGCTTCAAGATTGTCATCCTTATAGGCTTTTCTGGCCACCAAAGGACAGCAGGACATCCAGAATGCATTCTCGCCTTTGCCTGAGAGCCAGCAGCCACAAGCCTGTGCTCTGTCCCACACTGGTAGCATCCAGGTGGAATTTAAAATAGAATGGATGGGAACCCAGTTATATAAAAAGTCACCTCTGGTCTTCTGTTCTGTCATGGGAGTTAAGACCAGCTGGGGTGCTTCTGGTATCAGTTTCCAGTACATAAGTCTCTGTGATCTGCAGCAGAAATTCTTACAACAGGGCCTTTAGAAGTCTCGTCCTCTGATGGACTGCCAGAGGCAGAGTCCAAGGCATATCTGTGCAGGCAGCCTTTTTGCTGAGTTTCCCAGGGACTGAGAGAAAACTACCAGAAAGAACAGGCTCCTCTGGGTTCTACGACCAACCATCTACAAATGTCCTGAGTAGGCAGTATGATTTGCAGCCAGCCAGCTGCTTACCTGGTTCACTTAGCCCAGCTGATCAGAGATGTAACCACAGTCACAGATTCAATCCCTTGAGAGCTCCCTTGAATGAAAGGAATATTGCTTGAAATCTGGCTCTCCCCCTCCTAAATATCTTTTCCTAGAATACAACTCAAAATGCCTTACCCCTGCTGGAAAAACAAGTTCAAATACATGTTCTCTTTGTGGAATCAAGATGCAATAGATGCTTCAGTAACCTATAAAAATGTGAAGTCACATGGCAATCTCTTAACAGAACTAATCAAGGTAGTCGGATTCATCATGACATGCCATAATATCAACCCTCATTTATGAAAAATAAGCGGTATGATCTCTGTATCATTTTATTGATATGGGCACCTGAAGCTTAGAAAGCATGCCTAACACAGTAGACACCAGGTCATATTCTATTAGCCAGTTAATATTTTGTCCTCTTTCCAAATTACAAAATAAAAAATAATAAATAGAAAATGAGTCTCCTGCTTGCTGCAAGTTAACAGTTTGAAAGGTATAGTTGTGTATATGTTTGGATAGCACCCATTTTTAACTTTATTTCTCAACTCTAAATAAGGAGCATAACCTTATGTAGTAGAGATGAGCCACTTTATATTAAAGGAGAGCAATCAGATTATGAAAGAGCTCTTCACTTTCATATTCCAGGATAAATAAAATTCCTGTAACATAAAATTTTCTTTTGTCCTCTAAATAAAATTTCATATGACCTGACAATATTCTAATATCTTTTAAAGTCTGACCACTTAAAAAATTTCTGCCATTAAAATAATTAATTTTAATGGAAATCCAGAAGCAAAAGTAGAACTGAAGATAAGATGGGGGCAGGAAACTCTAGCCTGTGCCACCCTGGGAACTGTCAATCAATACCTAGGGTTTCCTCTTCTTAGGAGTGCAAATCCACTAGCAATTGCAGTCTTCCCAACACACACACACACACACACACACACACACACACACACACAAAGTTATCTCCCTCCAACCCTATGGGAACTCCAGTAAGAGATTCAGATCTAAAAGAAACCTTTTGAAATTTTACAGGTGAGAAAACTAAGGCTCAAATTTGAAATTAATTGCCACCCAAATCAGCCCAATGCTCTTCCCACTGGTCCCCCCAGCCCACAGAAACCAGATGGCAAGACCAGGGAAAGGGAAGGACATGCATACAGACTGCCATCTGCTTCAGGGAGACTTCCTCAGGAGACCCACCCGCTCTGTGAGCTCTACTACCATTTAGCTCAGTGGTGTTCCCCCACTTTTTAACTCATAACAGAGGCTCAATATATTTTTTTCAATGAAAAATATATGGTTTTGGTTTAGCATCAGGGAACAGAACTCTGATGGAGGTATCTGTGAACTGTGATAAAGAACCATGGTATGCAAAAGAGAAATTTAGACCCTGAGGCCCATTGATCAGGAATTTGATTAGGAAAAAAAAAAGGATTTGAATTAGGCTATGAAGCAGTATGTTATGGTATAAAGAATAAGTCCTCTAAAATAAGATTTTTTTTGACTCTATTAGTTATTAGCTGGGTGACCTCGAGCAAGTTTTTTAATCTCTCCAAATTCATTTCTTTATCTATAACGTGAGTATCAATTGTGTGGGTTGAAAGGGAGAAGGGAGCAGGGGGTGAGAAGGGGGAGAGAGAGGGAGAGAAAGAGAAAGAGGGGAGGGACAGAGATAGAAAGTAAGAAAGAAAACACTGGGGGCACATAGGAGGGTCTTGGTGCCCAACAGTTTACATGCAAATTAAGTACTCACATGTCTGTTCATTTAATGAAATGCCTGCTTCAACTGGATCAACTCCTGGAAATGTCTCCTTTGCTTTAGAGGTATGGACAGAATGACCTCAACGGCCTTAGGTTATATAAAAGAGATACAGCACCACTCAGGCCCTAAAACTGTGGCTTGGATTTGAAAATGGTTGACCCATTGTTCTTAGACTGTAAGAACAGAATACTCCCAGTTCTCCTCTAAATGTTTTATCTGAATGCCTGCCTGGACAGTGCTGGATCCCTAGAGTAATAACGAAGGCAATATTCAAGGGACCACCCCACTCCGAAACTAGATTAAGTAATCCTCCTATGTGGTTCATGGCACACTATACTTCCCCCATTTATCACAAGGTATTATAATTGCCTGTTCACTTCCAGTCTTGCCAACCAGGCTGTGAACTTTAGCTCAGTTTTACCTCCCACTTTTTAACTCATAATATAGGTTCAATATATATTTTTCAACTAAAAAAACCCCAAACTTCCTTAAAGTATCTACCACTAAAATCAGCATAGAGCATTACTGTCCTCTACTCTCCCAGTTTTGAGCTTGCTCTCTCTTCCCTCCTCCAGTCCCCTGAAAATAACAGCCATTTCCTTAGTTTCACCATTTAGCCACTTAGATATCTGCTTGGAATGTTCCTCATCATGTTAATTCACTCAGTAAATTGTGTTCCATCCAAACCAAGATCTCATGTGCTGGGCCCAATGGTGGGGGTATGGCAATGAATGCTCCAGGACTCCTCCTGGAGTAGCTCACAGAATAAAGTGGGCTTGGATGAAGGCTTTGAGTTTCAGAGAGGTCACTAGCCATTCGCCCAAATATTTCTGGATCAGTAACTACACCCTATCATCAACTTGACTGTCTAAAAATTAGAGTGTGGCTTACTAGTACATGGTGTTCACTCAGCAAATACTTGTTGAATAAAGGAGTGAATGGGATAGGATAGGAATCTTAGTAAGTTTTTATTGCTCTGGGCTAATGTAAGAGATATGCAACAAATTAAATCTTTTACTTGAGAATAAAGCAAATATAAGATCTTTTATTTGAGTAATTCTGGGTTTTGGCATCCACTAAGCCGATCTATCCACCTGAGAATTTACAAATATTTCTTAAATCCTCTGAGAAGCAAGTGATGCCTTTCCCCAAGCAGGTGAGCCAGGGCTCTCTAATACCACAGCTCAGTCAGTGCCACTTGACTTCAGAGCTCTCCCAGAGACTGCAGAACACTCGTGTACCAACCTTCCTAAACTGCCAGCACCATAACATTTTGCTTCTGAACTCTCTTTGGCTCTAAAGAGTACCTGGCTGGATTCCGTACTCTCCTTTACAGAGAATCTCATATTATTTTGTTTTAGACTTTTCTCCATGGCTGGTTTGTGTACTTGAGGGAAGGATCTTGTCTTTAAAATTTCCTGCAGTACTGGCCACACGGTCGGTGTTAAATAAGTATGTTTTAAAAATGTCTTTAGTTGTAGTCCTTGCCAAAGTCTCCTTGCGAGCCATAATGTAGACTGGAGAGAAGGGTAAGGATACAGCCCCCTCTATTCTAGAACTCTCCAAGACAGCTCTCACTCACATTCTTTTTCTGTGCTTTCAAGGATGCAGAATGTGAGACAAATTAGTAAAAGGAAATCACACAACACGACTTAAGTATGGTAGGTTGGAACCTTCCCTTTCGCTAAAAATGAATGCTTGCACAGATGACGACGTCTCCAGCCTGACACCATTTCACCCGTCCTCTCAATCTTCCTGACACATTGAGACCTCAAGCAGGGTGTTGAAAGGTCAGCTTGTTTGGTACCAACTGTGACTCAAAAAGATTATTCTCCTGTGAGGTGAAGGAGAGGAAAGAAACGGGGACAGTGAGATTTTCCAGCCACTCCACCCAGAGGGTAATTAATCCAAATGCAACTGGGGTGGGTGGAACTCAAACATCTTCCATTCCCATTTGATCCACGCCTCCACCCAAGGCTACTAGGACAGAAGCGCCTCTATCGGTCCTCGGGTTGAGTCCCTTACTCTCCCCAAGAGACCAGCTCTGGAGACAGTGACCAGAAGAAAGGTCAAGAACACAACGGGGGTCTGGACGGGCAGGACTGGAGCTGCGGACCCAGAGCCTCCCGCGGAGACCTCTCTCAGCCAATGAGATCCTGATGTCTGGGGATGATGAGTGCGGGCCAGCGGCTTGGCCAATCAGGCTCCAGGCGCGGCCAGGGGGAGGAGATGGGAGGAGAGGCCGGGGGCGATGGAGACACAGCTACATCAACACAAGTTTCTCACCTTGGAGTGCGAGGGACTCTCCTGCATCTCCAGCTCTTCTTCTGCAGCTGGGCGCGGGAGGAGAGTCTCAGGCTATTTCTTCCACCTCCTCACACGGCTCCCTGCACACGATGGGAGGGTGCTGAGAGCCCCTACCACTGCTGGCCTTCTTTATATGTTGTCTGCAGGGAGGAAGAGGGCGAGGGCCAACTTAGTGCTGGGGAACTGACCTCTGGCCTGGCGGGCATCTGGTGGGGAGGGCAGAAGAGGAGTGGCTGTGGCTGGGGGAATCCATGCGGGGGCCATGGACAGAGCGGCGCTCCTGGGACTGGCCCGCCTGTGCGCACTTTGGGCAGCCCTGCTCGCGCTGTTCCCTGGCGGAGCCCAAGGAAACTGGATGTGAGTATGGGGGCAGCGGGGACTCACGGAGTATATGACAAATGAGATACCCAGCCTCAGGTAACTTTTAGCTAAGGAGGGAGGGCGGGTAGAGACGGGGATCCTAGGCGGGTGACCTGATTTGGGGGAAAACATTTGGGATGGGGGAGGGCAGCCGGCGAGAGACGTTACGTTAGGGGCGGCCGTGTCTTACAGGTGGTTGGGCATCGCCTCCTTTGGGGTTCCGGAGAAACTGGGCTGCGCCAACTTGCCGCTGAACAGCCGCCAGAAGGAGCTATGCAAGAAGAAACCGTACCTGCTGCCCAGCATCCGAGAGGGCGCCCGGCTGGGCATCCAGGAGTGCAGGAGCCAGTTCAGACACGAGAGATGGAACTGCCAGGTGGCCTCCGCCGCCGCCGCCCCGCCCGGCACCAGCCCCCTCTTTGGCTACGAGCTGAGCAGTGGTGAGTTCCGGGACCCTCGGGGCTGGCGCGGGACGGGGGACCACGGCTCCTCCAGTTCCTGTATATAAAATAGTGCTTGCACAGCCCTGTCGCTCTCTAAGTTCCAAAAGAGGTCCTGTCGTGGACGGGAATTGGGAGCTACGGAAGCGAGACCCCGGGTGCAGGTGCGGTCCTGAAGGGGGTGACTCCCCAGGTCCGGAGCCAGTGCTTGGAGATGTAGCTCTTCCTCCTTCCCGCTGGGCCCGGCTGAGTTGGGGAAAAACTTTGACACTCCACCCCGCCGACCCCTCGGACCCCTAGCGCCCCCCTACTTGGGTCACCAGCTGGAGAAACATGATGTCGGCAGCAGGGAATGCTGCTGCCCCATCTGCTTTGATTTAAGCAGCTCCGCTGCGCACCGAGTCCTGGACAAGTGGCTAAATGCGGCGAAGCCCCACGTTTGGTGGCTCCTCGAGCACTGGGTACACGGAATAATGGTGATTTTTAAAAGGCATTATCCTGGACAACCCAACGTGCGGCTGAGCCGGGCACGACCACTTCGGCTCACCCTCCGTTCTTCTCTCTCCCCTCCTCTGCGCTCAGAGGAGGGGCGGGAAGCTGCAGTAAAACAAAGTTCCACTTCCACGTGCCTAGTGACTCGGTAAGGATAAAGGAACAGAGAACCAGGGTCGTTCCAGGATTATTAGCAGATTCAAAGAATTTTAGGACCCGGGCGCTGGAAGATTCGTTGCTTTTCACATTCATTTCCGTTCTCTCTCCACCTTTGACCCTTCCCTACCGGGTCCCTGCACACACAGCCGTCAAAGCATCGCCTTGGCCCTGCTGGGTTTTGGCCGGCACACCCTTCCTAAGGAGCCCTGATCCCCTACAGAGGAAAAGAAGGAAAAAAAACAAAACAAAACTGTGTTCTTCACAGTTGCTGAAATGCAGAGGCATCAGCTGTTGAAAAGGTTTATTGGACAACGGGCGTGAAATTGTTTCTACTCCAATCTAAACATCTCGAAAGAAAAAAAAAATCGCCTGCGGAGTCTCTTCTAGTCCATTTTATTTATGCTTTAATGAAACTTTAATTTTCCAAGATTTTAGCTGGAACACTATTGCAGGTGTGCTAAATACACATTCAATAATTTTTCGTAACTTTTTTTTTTTTGCCGGTGACATTTCAATTATCTTTCATTTTAGTTATCTTTAAGCCTGTAAGAGGATTAGCTAGTACTATATAAAATATATAATGGTTTCATGTTATTCAATAATACCAGGATGTTTTTCACAATATACTAAAAAAGAGCAATCTTTAATGTGAAACTAAACTATCATTTATCTACTAATTGCTTTAGTCTTGGTTTAATTTTAATTTGCTTTCTGATGTGTGTTATTTGTGCGAACAAAAACTGCACCTAATTTTTCAGCTTGTGTTTTGTGAAAACACATTTTAAATTTAAAAGCAAGTGTAATCTGAATTCTTTGGGGACACTGTATACCATTTACGGTATCCATGCAAAGGATTTTTTAAAATTTGACATGTATTTATTGAGCTTTTGTGGTCTACTAGGCACTGAACTAGGTATTGACATATATTTCATATTTTAGATATTTTTAGGTATGAGAACAATGATATCCTATATATGAGAATCCTTTCAAGCATGATACTTAAAATTAATGCTGCTTTTTAAAAAGACTAGAACAATAGGAAATCATCCTTTCTAAATATGTACTCATTAAAGCATCCGTTGTAAGCAATTGAAAAATTGCTTCCCTGGCAAGAGAATGAGTAGGAGGCTCTATTATGAACGTAAACGAAGAATGGCATGGCTCTTTCACTTAGCAATTTATGTTTTATTTCAGGCACCAAGGAAACAGCATTTATTCATGCCGTGATGGCCGCAGGCCTGGTGCATTCTGTGACCAGGTCGTGCAGTGCAGGCAACATGACGGAGTGTTCCTGTGACACCACCTTACAGAACGGCGGCTCAGCGAGCGAAGGCTGGCACTGGGGGGGCTGCTCCGATGACGTGCAGTACGGCATGTGGTTCAGCAGAAAGTTCCTCGATTTCCCCATCAGAAACACCACGGGGAAAGAAAGCAAAGTACTGTTAACGATGAACCTGCATAACAATGAAGCTGGAAGGCAGGTATGTATTAGAAAATGGGATAAAATCCAGTGCTTTTAGGTAAATAACATGAGGGTGACACTTGTGCATGAATCTGTTCAAATAGTTTTTAAAAATCCTTGCAACCTAAGAAATATATATGTATATATGTGTATATAATTATTATATATGTGTGCTTATTATAAATGTGGCACTGATTTATATGTATTTTTTTATTTCATGAGCCTCTGCTGACCACATTGATTTAGTTTAAGTTCTCCAACTAACATGAGTTCAGTCTTGTTAGAGAATGTATTTGCGATTGTATATTTTGTGGACCTAAAACACTAATTATAAAATAATAGATGTACACATGCCTGTTGGGTTATTTGGTGCCACCCTTTTAGCTGGTTATTGGCAGAGACTAAATAAGATCTACAGTGTCTGCCTTTCTAATGGGACTGGGTCAATGTTCATTTCCTCAAATTTGAACTTTATTCTTTTAAATGTATTTCTTAGTGAGCAATGTCTCCTAGACATGTCAGTTTCACCTTTACTTTCTCTAGCAAACATTCTTGAAGATGTTTGGAATACACAATATTTAACTAATTTTTTTTCTAAAACAAAGTTTTCTAAGGGAAATAGTCATTTTATTATAAAGCTATGTAGATTCACTGTAAAATTGATATAGATAAATGAAAAGAAGCTATAAATGTATTAAATATATGGATATTTTAAAATATAGATATAGTAATGATTCAGCAGGAATCAAAGTTGAAGTGTCATCATCTAATCAACCTCTTATGAATTCTGGTTTTTTTGTACTAAGTTTTCTTAAAACTGAATAAATTTGTAACTTAATTTAACTTTTATATATTTACCTCAGTGAATATTGGACACAATAATATTTGACTTCTACACCATCATTGAATTACTTGGTAATTCATTGTGACTTTTCTAAACAGCCAAAACTTTTTTTTATGAATATTTACTTTCTATCTTATAATCTTTTCAGGACAGAAATATCAGCACATGTTTTATACATACACACACACATGCACACTATAAATACCCAGTAATCTGTAAAAGTCCCAAAGCTGTCATTGTAATCTGACACATTCTCCTGAAATAAAACAAGTTTCAGTATCTTTCAGAAATATTTAAAATACATGTTGCATTTGTTTTAAATTTTTTTGAAAATTAATAAATGGAACCTAACCAGAATTGTTGCAAGTTTCAGCCAGTTTTCTTTACTTAACCACTTGGTTTAAAATACAAAAACAGAAATCTCAATAAATATATCACTATAATACATCAAATCCAAATTTGAATTTTCAATTCAATTTAAATATTTAATTAAAAGGTGCAAAATAGAAAATTAGTAAGTAGCTATGTAAGCTTTTCATATTTTTGTTTAGAAATGATCTTATTTATTTTTAAATTTTTATGTATTGACTTTTTTTTTTTTTTTTTTTTTTGGAGAAAGACAGGAAGGGTTGGGCCAGGATGGGGGCGGGGGAGAGAGAGAGACATTGATTTGTTGTTCCACATATGTATGCAATTCATTGGTTGCTTCTAGTGTGTGCCCTGACCAGGGATGGAACTTGCAGCCTTGGCATATTGGGACAGTGCTTTAACCAAATGAGCTCCCTGAACAGGGCTTGTTTAGCAATTTAAAAAGTTAATTTACATTACTAAAGTAACTTGCCTAAAACCATAGTTATGCATATGCATCTTCTTCTTAAAGTTTTACATTAAATAAATTAGTTTTTGCTTTAATTTAAGTATTGTCTAATAAAAGAATTTTTAATCCTTTCTAATATATTAATATAAAAGATTAATTGTAATTAACATATGTTCTTTAAAACTCCAGAGTTAAGCAAGAAAAAAGCACCAAATGAGTGAAATTAATATATTTTTAAAGTAAGAAAACAATTAAATGAATATTTATTATTAATTTAAACCTTATATCTTTTTTAGTCATTCTTTAAATATTTTGGCAGAGATTTTTAAAATTTTAACCAGGAAACAAAACTCAGTAACTCATACTATGATTCTCTTGATGAAGTCAACTCTGAACTTACAAAATGTCCTAAAGTCTTCTAAAATGTATTTTATTAGTAATATTAAGCAGTAATTTAGTTTTATTCTGTCTTATTTGAATTTTTAATTAATAGCAGTATTTGTCTTTGTAACCATTAACTTGAATCTTACAGTTATTTATATTCTAATTTCATTAACAAAATACAACTATTCAGCATCAATATTAATCCATTGTTTATTGGCAAAACACCATCTCATTATATTCTCTAGGTTTTTGCTATTATTCACATTATGCAGAAAATAATTTAGCCTATGCATTTATGCACATTTTATGTAAAATTTAAATTTCTTTACTAAATCTTTTTTTCTTTCACATTAGTCTAGATGGTAGCTTAAAATATTACAAAATACTACCTGAGTATTTTGAGGTGTTTTATTGTTCTTTCATCATGAAATATTGCAATTCAAAGCACTTTTGTATTTTCCTTTCTTTTGGTGGCCAGAAATATAAAAACCACCACTACCACAACAACTAACTAACCAAGTTTCCAGCTTATTATCTAACATGGAAGAATAATCAACTCCATTTTCAATATTGGCAAATAGAATTTTAATTTAAAGGGCATATTCTGAGTAAAGTTCAAGGTCTGCATTCAATTGAGTTGATTTTCCTAGTCTCAAAATCCCAAACTCCAAATGTCGAAAAGCGTTCAGAGAAATGTGGGTACTGGCGCTTAGTTGTGCTGTGAGCAGGATAGATGATTTTCTAACCGCTGACCTTAAATTCCCACTTGGTTTCTGACACCATTCCTAAAGTTATGACTCCAAGAATAATGTTGCTGAATGGTGATTGGCTAATAGCATGATGTGATGTCTTCCAGGGGCAGAACTTCTGGGAATAATGTGACTTGGAATATTTATGGGTATTTCTTTTGGTGTGCTTAAAATATTTCCATTCTTCCCATGTCCACCTCATAAACTTTTAAGTTTCCCTACCCCATAATTTGTTTTATGATGACTAACTCAGAAAAGTGGGAAGGGCCCAACCCCAAATTTTCATTGACCTGTTTCAAGAATATTTATAAGTATTTGAACAACACATAAGTGTTTTTGCTTTACAGCAGATTCAAATATATTTTTGGACTGAAAGGCACAAAATGGGTCAGAGGAAAAGGAATTCCACATGTACCCATCGAATCTGATGTTGCAGTTTTCATAAAAACTTAAACAAATCGTCTGTGAGTTGACAAAATGAAATGCTCATCACAAAATGTTTCACAACCAGTTTTTGGTCATTTCTGTAAAGTTTGGATAGAGCGATATACAGGAAAACAATCATTGCCTGCTGTGTTACCTAAGTCAAAATTGAGGGATCAATCACTCCTTACACCACTTCTCAAACAGTTTCTGTTTTTACCTTTAAGGATTTTGATTTGCCTTTCGTATGTCACTTCATTAGAAATGCATCAAACCAAAACTTAACACAAAGAAGCTCAGTAGATTAAATGTTCCCTCCCTAATTGCTCTCCCATAGTTTAAAAATATTCCACCAAAATGGGCACATCTGTTTGCAATAGTTAACAAAACATTCCTCTGTTAATATCGTTATAAACCTTAACAACTCAACTAAAGTAGAGAAAGGAATTTTCTCATAACCACATACAACTTATTCAGTTGCTATTCTCTTACTTTCCTTGTGCCTTCAAACTGACTGTGCTGTCACTGCTGTTCAGAATAGCTGTTTAGCATTAATTAAGAATCCTAGATGAAAATCCCCAGAATATACTTCTTTTGAAGTGTTGATGCAATTTTATTAAGTATACTTGCATTTTCTACTTTAATATTTTTTCTCTTCTACTAAAATTACCCAGCTTCATATAAAGATTTTATATCATGTGTCACTAACTTTCCTTATGTATGACAAGTATCTTAGCCACACTGTTTATTTTTCTGTAAAACTGGAACAATAAGTACGTGTTTGTAACTACATTTCTTCCTATAAAACTAAATTAAGTAAAATCATTTACGAAAATGGACTCTGGGAGCACTAAGCTTCAGAGTTTGTGTGTGTGTATCTGCCTTGAACTCTGCATTTCATCAAATTCTCGTAATAGTCATTACTGCTTTATTTTAAGCCCTATCCGTCCAAGTTTCTTCATGGACAGATAGGACTTAAAATAAAGCAGTGTAATGACTACTGCGAGATATATCATTTCTCCTTGGATATATCATTTAAATTGCATGTCAAGTTATTCTTCTCCTTGAAGTTTATTTGTCTGTCTATCCAAGAATATATGTATGTAAGATAAAAACACTATTTCATTTTTTATCCTTATTGATATGGACAACAAGTTAATGGAATTAAAAAGTAATCAAATATAAATTCTTTAAAATGTTAACCGAGAAAAGTTATAGTTAACTCCAGACATTTAACAGGGCTAGTTTTCTATGGCAGGAAAATCCCTTCAAAGTTTTGATACAAATTCAGCAGATTATATCACTGAATTTGAAAATCAGTCTCTCTTTATCTTTTAAACCTATAAAGTGGTGTGTCACTCTTATGGGCCACTACTGTTAATCAAGTTCTTCCAATACCATTGACCTCCCAGCAGTAACTCTTATTTAAAGAAGGTGGTTTTTATTACTTCTTCCCACATTAGAATCCCAATAGGAGATGAGTTAAAACTGTTTAAGTGAGATGGACTAATTATTCAAAGTATTTGGTAAGCGTCTAACTCTATCTGCTATGCTTTACAAATTGGCAATACCCTACATGATATTTGAACTGGTTAATAAAAGAAAAACTCAACTCTTCAATCATGATCCTGAGCTAAGGGCAGCTTTAAATCACTAGGTGATGACTACAAGGAACGTTGATCAGATTTAAACACATAAATATACATCCTTAGATTTGGGGCTTTTGGGCAATTTGTTTTGTTATTACCTAGCATTGATTGAGCCCTTTTTTTCTCATATGCTTCAGGCACTTAAAATCCAAACAGAAGTAGGCAGATTGCACTAATTTGAACATTTCTGTGCCCAGAGACATTTTAAAGAATTGAAGGCTTTCTGAATATCAAATGCTATCTATTTAACCAAATAAGCCTGTGTTCTATACTTTTATAAATTGCTTTCATATCACTGAAATGTACCTTTTTGCCTGAGTTAATAAGGAGTACACATATCTATTAGCTTCTCAGTTTCGTGAATTCAAAAAGGACATGAGCATATGTGCTGTAGTCTATAAAGGACGGGGTTTAAATACTCTTCTGTTTATTATTTTAAACACCAGTAAGAAGTATCAAATACTGCATAAATCAATACCATATGCTTTCATTCAAGTTGCAAATATTATAAACTGTTTGAAATAGTCTGTCTAATTAGATGTTCAGAAACTTTGCTTAATTTCTTAGGAAATGTAACATCCCACAACATGTCAATGTCATGTTTGGTACAAAATAAATATCAAAGTATAAAGCCCTGTCATGTTATATTTTTGATAAGAACCGTAAGTGGAACTTAAGCTGTGAGGTTTTTTTCTTAATTTGGTGAGATTACACACACAATTTCCAAGTTATTGAATGGACAGATCAATTTTTCACTTTACCCAGCATGTTGACAGACATTAACTCTGCAGCTAGCCCGGATGATTCATTAATCTGCCCTGCCATCCTCCGGAGGTTGCAGGAAGCTGTTGCTGACTGGCCTGGTGAGCAAGAGATTTAGAGCCCTAACATTTTTTCAAAACTCTTTATTGTTTTTGCTCTGTTAGCCCTATTTGAAATTAATCTCCACTCTTACTGTACCTTCTTCAGAGGAAAGGGGCATTCATTTAGATCTTAATGTGTGCCAGGCAGTGGACTCTTATGGGTATTTTTAATCTCATTTAATTTTGCAGTCTGTATCAACCAAACTCAGCATACAGAACCGAAAAAATACATAGATATTAGCCCCTCCCTATGTTAAATGGTGTTACTGATCCATCAAGAACAGGACACATGCTGTGAATGAATTTTTCAGAGAAGAGGAAGGATTTTGTAGAAAATCACTCTCTCCAGCCCCTTCTTCTTTTGCCCAACTGAAGTCGATTAGTCAGGGTTTCTCGTGTGATCTGCCAGGAGATGCTATCTCCCCCAGTCTCCACGCATGTAACTGACTTTTACAGTGATCAGATCTGAGAACTCTCAGTTCAGTCAGTAGGTCTCATCCCTCGATGTGCATCAGAATCACCTGAGCAGCTTTGCAGACATACCATTACCTGGACCCCACGTTGACCAATTAAATCAGAATCTCAGCAATTTGAGCATTTGTAAGGTTCCACAGCTGTTTCCATGCACTATGTGAGTTGACTTCTCTACGAGTGCTTCTCTAATTCTAATGTGCATAAATGAGTCACCTGAGGATCTTATTAAAATGAAGATTCTGATTCTGAAAGTCTGCATTCTCATGAGTGATGCTGGAATTGCTGGTCCCTAAACCACACTCTGAGCAGCAAGGTGCTAAATAGTATCAGCAACATGGAGACATGCACAAATATCTCCCTCCACCAAAAATTAAACACGAGATTAGAAATAAAACAGTTTTCCTTTGTTATCTCAGATAATCTTTAATAACAATATTAGCCTAGTCCACTACCTTTAAATTTAACTTGGAAAGGTTTGCTCTACAGGGTCAAGAGAAGGACAAAACTTTTGAACCCTAAGCAATCTGAGAAACCCTTTACATTCAAAACCATCATTTTTATACAGGAGGAAAAAGACCTAGAAAGTTAAATGATTAGGTTAGTTTGCTTCTGTAACTAAGTAAAAACACTTGATGAGTGATATTTAACTCAATTCCTGTTGGTTTCAGGCTGTTGCCAATCTGATGTCAGTAGACTGCCGTTGTCATGGAGTTTCTGGCTCCTGTGCTGTAAAAACATGCTGGAAAACCATGTCTTCTTTTGAAAAGATTGGACATTTGTTGAAGGACAAATATGAAAACAGTATTCAAGTCTCAGACAAAATAAAGAGGAAAATGCGCAGAAGAGACAAAGACCAGAGGAAAGTACCGATCCATAAGGATGACCTGCTCTACATTAATAAGTCTCCCAATTACTGCGTAGAAGATAAGAAATTAGGGATTCCAGGGACACAAGGCAGAGAATGCAACCGTACGTCTGAGGGTGCCGACGGCTGCAACCTTCTCTGCTGCGGCCGAGGCTACAACACCCATGTGGTCAGGCACGTGGAAAGGTGTGAGTGTAAGTTTATTTGGTGCTGCTACGTTCGCTGCAGGAGGTGTGAAAGCATGACTGATGTCCACACTTGCAAGTAACCACTTCATGCAGCCTGGACTGGCTACACTCTTCAGTGCCGACAGCAGAGTGCCACGGTGCAGGGCTGCTGAAGGCCACTGGCCTCCGCATCCCCAGAGCCTCGACCCCTCTCGGAGCTCCCTTTACCTGATCGATGTCCAGTCAATCACACACAGAGCTTGTGCATTTGGAGGGATTCTAAAAGGTTTGGATTCATATTTTGGTGATCTGGAAAATACGTATTTATATACAAGGAAGATCATTTGTCTCCTAAGCAAGAAAGAATCGGAAAGAACCTTCATGCGGGAAGACCCGGTCCGTCCTCTGGATAAGATCCTTGACTATGGGACTCGGTTATGGAACTCAATAGTGGTAGGTGAATATTAGTCACTTTTAAAAGACACTTCTTATAGCAGCAAGGAGCAGTACACATGAATCTCATTTATTCTCTCAGTACTTTAGATGAAGAAATTATAGTAAGTATTTGTTCATAGAAACAGATGTTGAAAAGTCAACAGAAATGGTGGGTGCTTACTTACCCTTTCATGCATTTCAAAAGGAAGGCAGTTAAAAAGAATTTTCACAAGTGATGAAATATTCATAAAAAGTGTTTGCTAGGGATATGTAGTGACAAAATGTAAGAATCACAATGTAAAAAAGTAAAATGTGTAATTTGGATTTTAAGTGGATTTAGGACAATTTCTAGAAAAATCTCAGGTATAAGATAGTAACCTTTGATCTTTGCCTTCATATTTTAATCGTAGACCAGTTTCCACTATTAAAAACCCAGCTCTGAATTACTGTGTGAGGAAGGGATCTTGAAAGCATGTGGGAAAATCAGAGGTAAAGGACTTGCATACATTATAAGGAAAAGCACCCATTAAAAGTGTAAAAACAGTATTTTGTACAGTATTTTGCTTTAAAAAGTTTTATATTTTGTAAATACAGTATTTAAGTTATGATATATATTAAACCTTAAGACATTTATTGCCAAAACCCAAGAGCTAAGGCAATAAAATTATCTGAGAAATAATATTAGCTTCTGTTTCTTTTCATACTATCAACTCTGACTTTTTTATATATTGAAAAAGAAGTTATTGAGCAGTTAGTTATATAGATGTGTATTTCTTGCCAAAATGACAGTTTTATAAGTGTTATAGATTAAAATATGCTGCAAAATATTGAGGATTGTGTTATTTCAGCAGTCAGATTAGTTGAATTCTGTTTTTAATTACTTAATGTTTAACTTGTAAAGTTATTATAATAAATTATATAAAAAGTATAAAAGTCTTAACTGGAAAAAAAGAATCTAAATCAGAATAATGATCAATTTGTGGATTTGATTTCCTGGATATTTATTATATTGTATGTAATGCTGCTTTTCCATGTGAATGTTGAATAGTCTTTCTTGTTTTAGTATTCATGCATGTGTATTCATCATATTTTACAAGGTTCCTAGTAAAAATTACACGGTTATATATAAGGTTGTATTTTAATGTAAATGCTTAGTTTTTTATGAATTGTTAAATATTTCAGTATTATGTAGAAAAAATAGATTTCTAAGTTCAGAATGGGCAAAGAAAGAATATTCTTTCTTTTTAATAATAAGCTAAAGAAATGTTTTTCTGTCCTGCAGGTCTCATTCTATTTCCTTTCAATCCATTTACCAAGGCAGAACAATAACTTGTGAAAAAGAGCAAACACATGGAAAATGTCTCAGGTCTAATATTAAAATCAAAGCTAAAGATTTAAATGTGACCCTTAAAGTTTAACAAAATTATTATTTATTGAACCAGATAATCAGAAATGACAAGTGAAGAAATATAGTGCTTATTTTAAAAAGTGGGTTGGCATCCACTGATTAGAATAACCTTAAAAACAGACATGTATTCTCATGCCTTTTTTTGCAGAGTAAATCAATTTTTCTGCATGAAAAACACATTCTTTTTTAAGAGAGGAATACTGTAGTTCCCATTAATGACCATTGTTTTCTATTAATTGGAAAACTCTTTGTAATTACCTTACCAACCAATTGTCAGAATCGGGCAGCCTCTAACTGACAAATACCTGATAACTATTTAGTCATTGCCGAACAGGAACTCCTAACCTAACATCGTCTGGGCTCTTCTTTTCCTTTTCCTCCCTGGTATCACCCTGGAAGCTATCCTTGAATCTCTCACCTGTTTCACTGGACAAAAATCTGGCTTAGTCTCACTTCCTTTCCATTCTCCATCCTGGAGGTAGAACCACAGAGGTCCTGCGTACAAGTCCTGGGACCCAAACGTTCCTATCTACTCTAGGCTATTTTGCCTGCATTGTTCAGGGTTCTTTATGATGCAAGTAACAGAAAATGCAACCCAGATTGACAAACATTAAAGGAAATGTATTGATTTAGTAACTGAAAAGTCCAGAGCTGTGCCTGGTGCAAGTAAAGCTTGATCTGTGGTGTCACCTTCTAAGCCAGGCTCCACAGGGTGCTGGTCATCCCCACCCCCCACCCAGCAGTTCCAGGGTCTCTGTTTTTCTTATCACCATGACTTGCCGCACTTCCAGACCTCATATTCTTCTACCACTCATTCAACAGCGAGAGGGGTTCTACTCTTTGGAAAAAGAAAGGGTCTTTTCTTTTTTTTTCATTGCTCATATAAGAGAGAGGAAAAAGTTATTTCTCGGAATGCCTAGCAAGGATCATCACTGGCCCTAACTGGTCAGTGCGCTCATCCCTGAGACAATCACAAAGGACATTGGTTGTTGGGGTTGTGTGGTACTCTGATGTGATGCGGGCCGGGGACTGGCAATGGGGTTCATTCCAGCTAAAACCACGTAGCTTGAGAATAGGAAAGCAGTGAATCCACAGAGAAAAACTAGGGCGTTATTTTACCATGAAAGGGTATCTCTATACTGGGCAGCACAGTTATTAGTTCTCGGTTCTAGTGATGTGTTTAGGAAACAGCTTTCTATGGTATCATAAAGGTCAGGCTCACAGCCAGAAAAAGCATTGTGGGTACAAAGTTCCTTGATTTGTTTAAATGCCCTTTATGGTGTTAAAAAGGGAGAGAAGGTAGACAAGTGTATTAATTTTCAACTTAGGAGTTCCACGTTTTTGTAAATTTGGATCTAAGAGAAACTATGTTTAGAGTCAGTGATAACTCTTGAAATGAAATCAAGACAAACATATCAAATGGCATTATCTGTAATCTCTGGATAAGGAACTTGGCTAATTAAAGCATTTCCCTGATAGTAGTACTTTACAAAACATTAAAAACACTTAAATTTGTTTAAATATAAACAACTGCATTATTTCCTTTTTTGCAATCTAGATTGATAGTTGTTTTGTTTTTGTTTTCAAAGAAATGATGATAGTTATACTAAGAATAACAATGGATTTTTATTACATAAGTTAGATACTACGACTATTCTGCAGCTTTTGTAACCATGTGCTATTCACAGGAAATATTTGAGAGACACACTTTGATTTTATGAAGAACTGTCAGTACTCATACGTTTGGCTTTACTTAGCTTGAAATGTGGAACCAGAAAAACTTTCCATCAAAATATTTATTTATAGGCAGTTTGGTGAGCTGCTGGTCCTGTTGCATCACGTCCCAGAGGCCATCGAAGACTGAAGAACTAAACCAACCATTTGGAGCCAGTTAGTTATTTATCCAGAACACTATAATCCACTTAGCTGACTTGAGGGGAGAAAAATTGAAATCATATCTCCAGGAACCATGAATACTCTTCAAGACAAGCCTTTCCTAAGGAAAGTTGGCAAAGATGCCTTGATTTAAAAAAAAATTTAGTTTCACTATAGACCAGATGTGATAAGTCATAACATTTCTTGGAGTGGGACGATGTGGTAAACTGAGAACGACAAATGTGGGTGGCACAGCATGAAAGGGGACACAGGGGCACACCAAGGACTCCTTTCCTTTGAAAAATAATAGTAGTAAACACTTAGGTAGCACTTACCACGCACCATGGATTGTTCTAATTATGTATACCTAAAGACATTTGATCTTCACAATATCCTCTCAAAGTAGGTACCATTATTGTGGTCTGCATTTCACACTTGAGGAAATAGACACAGTTAGTGAGTTAGGGAGCTAGCCCAGCGTTTCACAGAATGGGCTGGCTTCAGTCTGTGCCCTTGACTTTCTTATCATTACTGTGCCTCTTGCAGCATCGAATAGTCAGTACACTGAGTTTACAGTATATCATTTAAAGAGTTTGAAGGATTTATGAATGTAATGAAAATTGCAGGATGTTCTTTCATGGTTTGGTTTTATAAACTTGGCTGAGGAGTGGGAGTAAAGTGATGGGAGAATGGAGATCTTAGAATGCTCCATGAAATATGATTAAAATACACTGCCTCTTGATTTCTAAGCTCAAAGTGATTTCAACTGCCTGCTATTTTAGATCCCAGTGCGACTCACAGTTGGATTCTGCAAGAGCTTAAAAATCATTCCAAAAGGAAATGACTAGGGGTATAGATCAAGCTAATTTAATGCGACATTAAATAAATACTTACATCCTTTTTATTGTTGTGCTTACAGCCAATTGTTACATAAGGTGTTATTTTTAATAGATGGATGAAATTTACCATTGGTAATGGTTTACATTCGCATCCAAAGAAAAACCACTAGAGATGGTTTGCACGATTAAAAACTCCTGAAACAAAGTCATGCTAGAAAAAGCAGCCTCTCCCACTGGTTGTAAAGGGAACGTAATAATAAATGTGGACCAAATAAACGCAAACTGAAATTTTATATGTGATTTTTTTAATTTGCAGAATAAGTGAAAGCATCTGATTTGTGTGAGAACTGGAAAAGCAGAAAGAGTGGTGGACATAGGGCTGCCTGTTTCCCTCTGTCAAACTGCCAATCTGACCCCTCAGGGTGCTTCATCTTCGTGGAGGCCGGTAGCCTTCCCTCCTGCATGTTAGTAACAGCGAACACCTGACCGTATTTACCCAAATCAAAGGAAAGGTGGCCCCTGCAGCTCCTAATTACTCTTTGATTAAAGAGGAATATCAACAAGTTTATGTACATTTAAACATAACTTGGACTCATAATAAACCAAGAAAAGGTGGAGCTATACAAAATGTAAGTCAGTAATTACTATTAGCTATGTATTTCTAGTACATAATCACTACTTTTAAATTAAGCTTTTACAATTTGTCAGTTGTGTTTTGTCTTGTTTTTTTGCGGCTTTGAGATATAATTGACATACAACATGGCGTAAATTTAAAGTCCTATTCATTGTACTTGCTTCATCTCAAACTCCCTGGCAGACAGCTAATATTTGCTCCTCATAAGACTCTGTGCAAGGCAACAAGTGGCATATGATACAATAGCTAAGTGGGAAAACTGAAAAAATGAGTGTGATCAATCCTCCTTAATGTACCCTTTATATAATAGGTGCAGGATAAATAATTTTATGCATTGAAAAATAAAATTTCCCTATTCAGAATAAGGAATTCCTTCCTCTGCTGGATTGGACACTCCCCCCACCCCTAAATGCCCAATTTTATTATTTCTTGAGAAACCACACTTTAAAACTTGTTGACTATAGGAAGACAATTTTAAAATTCCAATCGGCACAACTCCTATAGCTGTGCCAATGCCCCCCACACCCAGAGCCATGGAATTATAAAGAATCTCCTCCAAATAAGAGTATTTCTATAGAAGAATTTTAATACCCCCTTGCAAGGTGTTAACAGTTCCACAGGAATTGGCTTTCAACCTCATTCTCAGGATAAAAGTTTCAGGTTTCCATAGCAGTCAAGGTAGAAACTCATTTACTGATCTTAAACGTCAGGTCTTCTCCCTAAGGGAGGACAGAAAGTTATTGGGGGGCAGGCCACACTCTCCATCGTTCGGGACACACAGGACTTAAGGTGCAGTGCCATTCCTCACACCCAAGGAAATTCTCACCTGTGACCCTCCATGTCTTCCAGGGCCTACCCGTGAGAAGCACAACTCTCAGGGACTACTTACTGGCTTCTCCATGAACTGAACATATTTTGAACTATAGTGCTTGACATCATTTGATTTTAAATCTCTCCTCTGTTTAGAGTTTGCACTTGCAAGACATTCTCCTTGAAGTTCATTTCTGCTCTTGTCAAATAAAGCACACAGTTCTTCTCTAATCAGGATCCCAACCCACAAGGGTACACAGAAGTCGGTTTCCAAATTGGCCATTTTATTCCACTGGTGACACAGAAGGCTCAGACTTCCCTGTGTCAGACAGGGAAGTCATTGGCCCCAGTTTTGAACTTATGAGCTTGTGGCTCATAAGCAGTTGTAACAGCAGAGTAGACAAGCAGAACTGCATTTTAATGTATAATGCACTGCTGAAAATGTGCTTAAAAGTCAAATGTGTAAATTTCAAGTAACAGACTTACTGTTATGTGTTGATCCTAGAAAAATAAAAAAGTTTCAAAATTCCCATTCAGGATTCCTCTCTTGCCCAGGTGGCCTCACTCACAGGTAAGAACCTCCACAGGCCCTCAGTACAAGCAGCAAATGCTAGTGTGCAAAGGTGCTCAGTTCCAGCATCTCTGTTGAACTGGTAGCTACTCCACCCATCCCTGAGCAATAGTTGTAGTTAGATTACTAAGTACACGAATCAATGTCTGTCACTCTGTGCTCCCCCAAACTGGGGCTTCAACAGTGTGTTCCCGTATGAGGCTCCTCAACTCGGGGTGGCCACAGGAAGAAATCAGAAAACATTGCTTGCTGTATGACCATATGATCCTTCGACACATTAGCTAGCTGGAGATACAGAAATGCTTGAATTCTTCATATGAAAGGTAGTTTGTTGTCAGTGTGGAATGAGTTAAAGGGTGGGTGGTATACACTCTGAGCCATGGAGGTTAAGGGGAACTTCAGGGGAGTAGCTGCATCTTCTATAACCTTAGTGTCCTAGTTATTAATGGTTCCCTTGAGGCTTGGTGTTTTAGTCCCCTCAGGCTGCTATAACAAAACCCGTAGACTGTGTGGCTTATAAACAACACATTTATTTTTCACAGTTTTGGAGACAGGGAAGTCCACGATCAAGGCATTAGCAGATTTGGTGTCTGGCAAGGACCTGCTTCCTGGTTCACAGACAGCCATCTTCTCGCTCTGTCCTCACATGGCAGAAGGGGCCCGGAGCTCTCCTGGTGCAGTTTATAAGGGCACTAAACTCATTCACGAGGGCTCCGCCCTCAAATGCCCCACCTCTTCACATTGTCACATTCGGGGTTAGGTTTCAACATATGAATTTCTGGGGGGACACAACCGTTCAGACGACAGCACTTGGTATGATGGGACTGGAAAGCTAAAGCTAACCTTTCTCCTACTGCATTACTAGTCTGCAAGAGGCATCGTCACTTGCAAGAGAAATATGAGCAGTTGCATTTACTGAGTAGTTCCTGCCAGGCATTTTGGTCACCACACAGTATCCTCCCTTTTACAGGTGAGGATTTTGACTTTCTCCAGGTCCTGTGTGACAGTGGAACAGAGTCACATTCAGGCAGGCCTGCACTCTTAGCCAGTATGCTACACTGTCTCATCTATTAATTCTCTCCTCTTTCAAATTTTAGGCACTTTTTTTTTTCCTGGCTATCAAGTGAAACAAATACGGTGCGATTATATGGAACATTAGGAGCTTGCAGGGTCATAAATCAATTTTTCCTAATAAAAGGCAGTTTCTTTCAGCAATTGAGCCTCAACTCATTCTTTCAATAATCACTGAACTCCTGTGGTAGACAGAATGCAGAGCTGAACAGTAAGTTTAGTATGGCAGCAAGTTGTACCCCTGAACTCTCTGTGGTAGGGCATTGTCTTCCCTGTGTTAAGGTTGCTTAAAAACTGCTCATGAAACAAACCCGAGAAACCCCTCTTCTGTAACAGAAAGGCTGGCCAACCCCTTCTCTTTCTCATACTCCTGTAAAAGACATGCCAGTGTTGAACGTGTTTCCGTAATACAGCGGCCCTCCCTCCGGCAGTCCGGCCCTCCCCCAGCCGGCGGGAGGTTCAGATTCCTGGGTGGGCTGTCACCACGCTGCCTGCACGATCCTCTGCTGTTCCCTCCAAGGTGCCTAGCAACTGACTGACAGTCCCAAGGCCCCAGGCCTGTCTGTTTTTCATGCTATTTAACCTTCCATTTGACTGGGAAAAGGGGATGAGGAAGAGGCAATAAGCAGTAGGAGAGGACAAGGCCTACTCAAATTGAGGGAGATTTGAGGGAAATGGAGATTAATTAGCTATTGGCATGTGACAATGAAAATCCAAGTATATGGAAGAAAAGTCATCCTAGGAAGAAACAGCAGAATTCTTCTTAGGAATGTTTAGAAAAGGTAAAATCTGGTTACTTCATTGTACAACTCAGTTTACCTGTACTTGTTGCTGTCCAAGGCCTAATCGAAGAAGTGGCAAATCATTTCCCTGATCGACATAGCTATTTTTCCTTTTGCTACTTTTAAAAATGTTCGAAGTATATTCCAGTTCCAACAGCTATACTAATTAAATACATAAATTTCTCATTCTTGCATTTAAAAAGGGGGAGTGTTGCCCTAGCCGGGTGGCTCAGTTAGTTGGAATGTCATCCTATCCTGCAGTTATGGGTTAGATCCCCAGTCTGGGCGTGCACAGGAGGCAACCAACCGATTGATGTTTCTTTCTCTCTCTCTCTCCCCCCCTTCCTCTCTCTCTCAAATCAATAAACATATCCTCGAAGGAGGATTAACAAGTAGAAATGAAAAAAAAAATAAAAATGGGGAGTGTTAAACAAACTGAATATAACTATCATCTTTTGGGGGGGTCAAATTACTTATGATTTGTATAAACTTAGTGTATAAAGTGCAATACAGGCTAAATGCATTGAGCTTCATCTGACATAAAGTTATAAAATATTAGCTGATTCATTTAAAAATAAATACAATAAAATATAGGAAAATCAATGATGAATTTCACTTTAAACAAGTTAAAGTCAGGTATATAAAGACAGGCTCAATTTTTCTTTAATTTCCCAAATTATCACTTATTTTCTTACTGTGTTTAGTTTTAACAGACTTATTATGCTTGCTCTGGGAAAGCATCTATGATTACAAATATAAAAATACACATCCATAGGTCCTTAAAAATGATTTCAAATACCAAAGTGTCAATGCCAAATTTCTGGTTTTAATAAAGAAAATTCTTAACATTAAATAAACATTGCTTCATTTATAATGCTGATTTTTAAAAGGCATCTGAAAATGAAATGTAGTAAAATTATTGCTTCCAAAGTTAAGCTGGCACAATCTCTTCAAGACAGAATTGAGACAAAAGCAAACTGCATCAAAGCAATTACATAACCATTCTTTATCCCTTCTTTCAACATTTCATACACCTTTACAAATCTATGTATCATTTTGTAGTCTTTATCTTGACAGGGATGTCCTGCTACCTAGATACTTAAATTCTACACATGTCAAAACATATCCTGAGGATATTAGTTTGCTTTAACCACAGGAATGATGTAAATTTAACATGTAAAGCTGTATAATAAATACTTGGCAAACCTTAATGTGAAGTTCTATAGGTATATAATTTTGCTAGATAATATAAAAAATTCACTATGGAAAACCAAAAGTACTTACTTCATTATTTTCTTTTTAAAAAATGCAACATTTATTTCACAATCTCTGGAACGGTAAAACACTTAACTCTTTTTAATATGCAGAATTGAAAGAAGTATTTTAAATGTCAAGATATACATGCTGAAGTTGATTTGGTAGATAAGCACCAAAATCTGAAGGTTACAAAATTTGTTGAACTTATAAGGTGTATTTATTCATGAATTACACTGAAGAAAAAAAGAACCAGTACCACAAACCTCATTAGTATTTACGAAATAGCTGAATAGCTTCCAACTTGGTTTACGGCAAAATGAAAAATACTGCTTTTAGTTTTTTTTGTACAAGTCATTTGAAATTTGGATTCAATTTTAAGTGCTGCCTTTTACTGTGAATGGCAGTTTGAACATTAAATCTGTTTATGTTCCAGTTTAAGACACTTCATACACAATAAGTATTTAATGGCCTAAAAAAATAAAAAAGCTTGAGTCAATTAGTGAACATCTGAAGTCAACACAAACATTAGATCTCTGTATTTTTATCTAGAATTGGGTATAAAGTCATTCTTGTACAAATAAAATTATTTTGTAAATGTTATCAGTCTACTCAGTAATTAGGTTTTTTTTTTTCTAAATATGTCACTATATTTATCTCCTGGAAAAATTGCTATTATGAAATTAAATGAAGTAAATACAAAATTAATCTCTTGGTTTACAAGTCACAATTATTGTGATATTAAAGCATGCCTCTTTCCAAACCATTTTGTCAATGCTTATAACAATTAAATGAGGAAAATATATGCCAGTATTGCTCTACACCGACATGGCTTGGGGAAGGGACTTGGCTCCGTTCCCCAGTTCTGTGGAGTTGCCATCTCTACCCTCACTCTAAATAGCTTATACAAAATCAAGGTATTCACATTGCTAAGACAAAATCCAGCGAGCTATAGTCCGGAAAGCCATCTACATTTATATATTTACTTTTTATTGTGTACATTAAAAAAAGAATTTTATTGTGCTTTTCACATATCTGATACAAGTTTTCCCATCATTTTATGTCTAGGTTTCTTGGGAAGAGAAAGTCTAAGACAAGAGGTACATCAAGAGAGTCAGACTGTAGAGTAACATTACACATACAACTTGCCAAATATCTTTAATTTAAAAGATACTATAATCAAACAAAGTCTCCCTCAAATCCATATTATTCCATGATAGATTTTCACAGCAACCAGTATATATATATCAGTATATTTTTCACAATCTGTTATCAATCAAGTATGCTTTTAGAACAAAAAGGTGTCATTTCCATTAGCAGTCTAAAGATGGTACTATTAGAGAAATGTGCTTAGAAATGGTACAGTGATTCACTCATTACGACAACTATTTACAAAGACATTTATGTACGTTAGCAATAAATAATCCTGATATCAAAAGAGAATGCTCATGCACACACCAAGATGGCTGCATGCTTTTAAAATATGTACAAATGGTTTCTCTGTTGTAGCTTTCTCAGTAAGAGTGAAAGTGCATGTCCTTGAATTTTCTCCATATTAGTCTTGCTTCTGGGGGACACATCCTTCCATTTCTACAACCTCAGGCCAACCTTCATATTTGTTTGTGTCCTTATTGTTCTTTATGTGCTGTTGGAACACAAGCATAGTACACAGTTTAAAAACCTCTGTGGACTGTTTATCAGTAATAACATACTTTAGTGCACTCATTTCAATAACACTCATGTCAACAAGGAGTTTGTATAAATTATTATTCAGATATTACAAGAGCAACCCTTAGGGCATGGCATGTAGTGGCAGACCTTCAAATAACAGCTGGAAGAACTAAACAGTGCAGATGTTTTTCAAAGGATTATTTGTTAGCCAAAGAGTATAGAGTTTACATTCTACTAAATTCTAAAGTATTTCCAAACTTAATGATTATTGTCAAAAGCTCAATTAAAATTTTTAATAACAAATGCTTCCTAAAAGGCTTAAGGTAAAATAATCATAAGCCAATGCACTGTCATGTAGGAAAAAAATTCCCACTCAGAATTTGAATTTTTAAGTTTTGAAATTAAACAGTGCCATGGTTATTTCAAATAACTGATTACCAAGAACTTACAAAAATACGTGAACATATTAAATGTCTGCTTTATCCAAATTTCAAATAACTGAGATTAGAATATATACTGTACACTTCCACACAATTTGCTTTTGCCCATTAATGATGAAAACCTAAGACACTTACCTGTTCAAAAGGGCTTTTTGTCTTAATGCCTTTCCCACCGCAGAAGACCCAGTTGTCTCTAAAACCTAGATTGGTAATAGATGTACTCCCCAATTCAGCAATGAGCCTCCGTGCCTCATCATTGAGTCTTGGAGAAAAAGAACAATACGATACACTTAGTGAACTCGTGTTATCTTAGTGATCCTGATTCAGCTAGGATATTTAACATCTAACAAGAGACAAAATAACAAAATATCAGCCAAGAGAACATAAAAAAGAGTAAGGACACTTTTTAGAATAACAGTCCTATCTGAAGGTTTTTTTTTTTTTAATTTAAGTACAGTTGATATACAATATTATATTAGTTATATTAGTTTCAGATATACAATATAGCAATTCGACATTTTTATACCTTACAATGTGATCACCCATTTGCTCCCACTATTTTCATTCTTTAGTGACAAGACATGACATCTAGCAATTAATTTTATTTCATTAAAAAGTACCTTTTAGATGTCTTTATATCACAATAATAATTAACTTTCATCTATGCCCATCAAGTAAATAAGGGACACTGCAGTTCGTAGATGTTTATCTAGGCTAATCCAAGATCTTAGGAAGCCAGTATCTTTGAAAAATTAAACATCACTTTGAATTTCCACTAAACTCTTTGTAAATTGCATTTGAAGAAAGGTAAATGCTGATAGAAATCTAGGTATTTCTAATTCCATATTTTATTTAAAATAAAATGAACTTTGAGAATATGGATATGTTGTACTTCTGTGATAAGTGCCAAGTGGTTATTTAATAAAAATGAAAATATTAACCACACAGCAGCTAGAAGGAAGGGCAGAGGCAAAAGCCAACTGCCAGGGAAAAAGCTCACTGAAAGATGCCATTAATGAGTATTGTGTAGGTTATTAGGTTATTATCCTAATGTTGAGTGATTTTCAATCTCCACTCTGTCTCAAAGGGAAAAGAAAAGAAATTCAGTGGCACATGCTAGCTGTAGAGCTTAAAAAAAAAAAGCAAGACACCTAATGGCCACCTGTGCAGTAAGTCCTTCATTCACCCAAAAGGTGGCACTATGGTCAATTTGAGAGGTTTGTTCTGTTAAAAATCTAATGTAAGGCAAGTTTTTTTTTGAGGGGGTTCAGGGGGGAGTGCGTAGGTAAATAGTTAGATAATCACTACCTGAAAATAGCATGAGGGCCAGTAAGGAAGGTACTCAGACAGCACCTTTAAGATACTAATAAAAAAACACTAGGTCCAATAGTTCTCATTTAACTAACTTAAACGGGGTTTTACATATATATAGAAATAGAAGACATGTATATATCGTCATAAAACAAGGAAGAGCTACATACATCATTAGACCGCCACGATTTATGCAAACGCCCCAGGGCAGGGGAGCTGTTCACCCACAGCCTGGGCCCTGATGTCCTCCTGGGCGAAGTTCACTAGAATCAGTGACAATATCAGCTGTTGCCCTGGAATGTTTACCCTTTCAGACTCAAATCTACATAAAGATATGCATTTATAACCCAGTGAAATAAAAATAAATGAAATGGCTGTGCCAAACAACCAGGGAGTCCTGGCCTGCTGAAATTTTAACTTTCACATAGAGCCGGGGCACGTGCTCCTGGCTTGCTCCCCAAAGCCAGTCGGGAGCTGTGTTTCCTGTGCCCATCCTTACTTAACATGAACAAGCTATCACTTCTCAGCTGCCAGCTCATGCAATAAACAACTTTTGTTTTAGAGGGGCACTCCCTGAATGTACTGCCTGAACCCTATTTTCTTATTTGCAAGCAGTGTTAGCGTGTCTTGGATCTGGAAGACGGTCAAATTCCACTTTTTAGTTTACCCGATTCTTCTATTTTCTGGCTACTTTCTTAGAACATTTTATTTGCATCATCAGCACTCATAAGTTGAGCTTTGCAGCTGTAACTAGAATAAATAGTATTGAAGGGCAGAGGTTGGGCAGCAGGTTCACTGCAAGGCTTAGTGATGACCTCCTTGCAGAGAGGCCTTGGGGCTTGGTTCAGTTACATCTCAGAAAAATTACAAATTGGCACCTCACAGGCTTTAGGGGTGTTCATAAATATCTGAATGTTAAGCTCACAAATGCTGAGCGATTGCTACGTACACAAACACTGCTCACAAAGTAGATGGTTATCCAAAGGCAGGCCTGGCCTCTGCACAAAGTATGTAATATCTTTCTTAGCTAAGAATTTTATATTGGTTAAGAGATCTATTGAAGGGCAGCCATTGTTACTTCTGAACTTTTGAATTTCAAAAGTGATCATTTTGATCTGTAGAAATAAACTAAGCCAATTTAGCAAGAGATCTAGAAGCAACTTGAAAATTTTGCTTTACATTTTGACTCCACTGATCCTTCCTTACTTTCTCCTGTGAGAACACCCTTAAGCCCGGTACAGAGAGCAGGCAAGGCTGGGGCTTGGCTGGCACCTGGAAACTCAAATTTCAACAGGGCTCCCACCATTCCCAGAAGTGATGAGAATAGTTCACTGTGACTAAACTGTTTTAAAAAAAAGCCAGTTTATTATAAACACCTACTTTTTTTCTGGAAGTCTGGAATTTTGGGATGTGTTGGGCAGGGGGTGCCTAAATGACCAGCTTCCAATAAAAATCCTGGGCACCGAGTCTCTAATAATCTTTCCTAGCAGATAGTTTCACAGTGCTGTCAGTTTGTTGCTAGAGGAATTGAGCACACTCTGTCTGACTCTACTTGGGAGAGGAAACTTGGAAACTTGGGCCTGGGCCCTTCTGGGCTTTACCTCTCTCTGTCCTTGCAGGTACTGCCTTGCCATCCTTTTGCTGTAACAAATTGTAGCCGTATATGTGCAGGTATATATGCTAGGTCTTGAAAGTCCTGACAAATCTTCAATCCTGGTGGTTGTCCTGCGCATTCTTGCCACAGGTCCCTATCTGTGTCTATCTAACTAGTTTATAAGAAGATAATTCTCTCAGTAACTTCCAAACTTTTCTGATCTGTCTACATAGAGTTTGGGGATTTTATTATTCCTTTTTGATATTTTCTATTTAACTAGGTAAAAGAGGACTTCATATTTCAAAAAGAATTTTAATACCACCATGCAACATAGCTAATATTTCAAGCACTGGATAAATACACGTAGGTATCAAAATATCGCACTTTTTAAAAGTCAGAGTAACTAATACAGTTATACACAGCATGAAGCTCAGAGATAAGCTTTTTATTCTATATAGGAACACCATGAGTTTATTAGGTGTGTTTTAATCGTTACCAATGGTCTTAACTAGCTGAATTGTTAAAAATTTATATGAAATAAGTTATTTTAGTTCAGGATTTTCTTTTTAAAAAGATTTTATTTATTTTTAGAGAGAGGGGAAAGGAGGGAGAAAAACATCGATGTGTGGTTGCCCCTCACTGGGGACCTGGCCCACAGTTCAGGCATGTGCCCTGACTGGGAATTGAACTGGCAACACTTTGGTTCGCAGGCCTGCACTTGATTCACTGAGCCATAGCAGCCAGGGCAAGAATTTTCTTTAAAATAAATAGATTAGATAAAAAAATAAAATAAAATAAATAGATTATCCTATGACAAATTATAAAGTAGATAGACAGGAAATCAAGTGTTTCTAGAGAAGATTCTGAAGTTGAGCAGAGGATCAGAAAGAGAAGCTGGGGCGCCTCGGCTCTGCCTGCCCCTCTGCCGGGAGAGGCGACCACCGGACAGCCCGGCAGTCATACCCTCTCTCCGAGCCAAGTACAGAGAACGAGGAGGAGAACTGATATTCTGGGCTCAATTCTGACTAATGGGAAAGAACATGTCAGGAAGCAGAAGTGTCAGGCACTTTGGAAGAAAACCACCACGTTACCTCAGGAGTGTGAAGAATAAGAAGCTCTAGGCATAGGTGACCATAAGCCGAGATTTTAAATTTCATCATGTAACTTGCTACTAATCTCAGGAAAAAGAAGGACAGTTTCTAAATAAGTGCTATCATTAGAGTGATCTCTAATGTGCTCAAACTTAAAAAAAAGAAGTGTGCAAAAATGCAGGGCAAATCCTATTATACTAATGACAACTTTTACTACTACTACCAGGAAAGCCTATAGTGCTTAGAATGCAATGAGACTCATGAAACTCTTAAAGGCCACAGAAAGAACTTCTGCTACTGAGTGTGAATAATGAAGCAACCCACCATTTCACAAGAATGATATGATTTCAAGATCAAAGCATGATCGTCTTTTCCAGAGAGGCAAATGCTCTTTGATCAACACAAAAAGGGAACAGTTGTTCAAGAGTGTCCACACACCCACTCGGAAATAAATTACATCCCCAGGCCCACACACGCCACATACTGTAATTCTAAAGGAACCTGTTAATATAGTTTTCAACGTAATGTCAGTTATTTTAGAAGCATCACAGAAAATGGAGTTGCAAAGACATTAAAAGTTAAATATTCCAGTTTTTTTAAAAGGCAAGGAAAATTTTACAAACAACAGTCCAATAAAACCACTTCCAATTCCTTAGCAAAACTCTTGAATGGCTGACAAGATCATGTGAGCATTAAAAAAAGAAAAGAAAAGAAAGAGAAGGGGTAGTGGGAAGGAATAAAAAGTCAAGTTAACATCATCTCAGCTACTCCAGCTTTTGGAAAGGTTTTTGGGCAGTAGAACAGGGTACTGTAATTAGCACAGCTCATGAATTTCAAAGGAGCATCACACAGTCTCAGAAAATAGCCTCTATGAGTAAACTAAAGACCCAGCAGCTGGAAGGTACGGTTACTAGGGTCCATTGGCAGACATTAGGGTCCAAGCTGTTTGAAAGGCAGTTTCTGCACTTGATTAATAGACACCTCCCTTGCAGGAGGCCTCTAGCAGGGTGGCACACTGCTCTAGGTAAACATTTTTATCAATGACTTAGATTTAGACATAAGAACAACTTTGGAGAGAATACAAAACCTAGTTCATGGAAACCTCATAGGACAAATGTCAGAATCAAGGCCAACTGGGCCAAAAATCGGTAAAATTAAATTTAACAAGGATACATGAATATAAAGTCCTTCATTTAGATGAAATAACATCAAGTTCTAAGTGGGAAGAAAGACCTGACTTGGCAGTGGTTAAAACAGAAAAGTCTAAGATCAAATGAAAAGATCAGAAAATTTAACTTGACCAAAAACTCATGAGCCAAAAATGTGATGTGTTTAAAGAAAACTAATATAATACGGGTCTGCATGAATATTCAAAGAAATGTAATCTCCACAACATGGTAAGCTAGCATCTCCACTGTACCCTGGAGCGGCCAGACCACATCTGGAACACACTGTGCGATTTGGGGCATCATTTTAAGAGACAATAATCAACCCGAGAATCCCCAAGAAATGTAGCCAGGAGGGTAAAATGACCTAGAAAGTTAACAAGACTAAAAGTTAAAAGAGCCTTATGTATTGGGCCTGGAAAAGAGAAAATTAAAAGAGAAATGCCATTTAGCTTCAAATACTCAAATTATCAAATGACTTGGGGGAACATATTTATTGTTTTGTTACGCCATTTATCCAAGCAAAGGACTATCAGGTGGAATTTAGAGGGAAACAACTCTGAGAACATACCATTTACTTCAGAATAGTTTTTGTTTTATTTCAAATAGGAAAATGGCAAAGGTACGGGCGCCATTATCAGGCAAGCAGTTCAGCGGAGGAATTCACAGAGAAGTTCCAAGGGAATCTGGTCTTAAACATCCCTGACTTCAAGACATCATTTATATGTTCACTTAGGCATGATGCTAATAGGTCAGAGGGTACTTTCCAAAAGGAGAAATACAAGAGCAAAATGTAGCTTGCTCACGCAAGCTATTATGCTCCTTATTAAACAAACAAAAAGCAGCTTATTTTAGAGGGGGATGAAGTGGAAAGCAGGCACCATTTGAGACCTGTACTCCCTAAAGTGTTTTTCTTGGATATAGGGGTTTTATTTGTTTTGTTTTTAATATGTGCTTCCTGACTGAAATCAAGAAAACACTGGGATAAACAAAGGTAAAGAGATTTCTTTAGAGCAAAATTTCAGTGCCTTTTATTGTAAACCTCTAAAAAAATGCAAAATGCCAGGCGTCATCCCCAAACTTATATGACCACCAGAGTTTTAAAGGACAGAGGTTTCACTGAATATACCTGGGAAGTGTGTGATGGAGCCCAGTCCCAGCTATTCTGCTGAAGATCTGAGTACAAACCAGGGGCTCACTGTGTGTAGTAGACACTAGGATCAGAAAGGAACAGCTACAGGGAAATGAGTCCTGCTTTCCCTCATCAACATGCATATGAACTCCCGATCTTGGAGAGAGCAGGTACATCCATTCTGTCCTCTCCACTTTCTTTGGGTATAAAGGGGATAACAAACCATTCCCTAGCAGGTAAAATTCAGCACCATCATGTAAGGAAAAGCCATAACACAACAGAGCTTTTCATTCCCTTATAAAGCTGGGTATACCACAACTGATGAGTCCTTTCAAATGTTCAGACACCTGCCAAGATACATGGTAACATCTTGCTATATTTAATAGAGGTAGACGGCCCTTCATTAGGATTGTTTGTCCATTTCCATATAAAGGACATGATGCTTATAGTTTATTTCACCAGTATTTAAAAGGGGGAAGTACTTGATATATAAATGCATGTGTCCCAAACTGAAAATATATCCAACTCGAATCCATTTAAATGCACAGAGGTTGACCAAGTGTAAAGACATCAAAGTTTAGATTTCTGCTTTTGCCTTATAGGTTGAACCCTGGCCTGAGGTTGCTTTTGGTACATGTGATGAATGAACACCAGTAATAGCAGCTAAAGAGATAATATCATCCTTGCCTGAGTTCTTAAGTATGGCTACAATTTATTATTAGCAGAAGAGGAGCAGATCTGATGCATATCAAGTATAGTAATGAAATAACCTAGTGAAAAAAATATGTCTGTTCAGGAAAGTAAGTCTTTTTAAAAAACTTTAAAACTTCAAATTATCTCTGTTAATATCCTCTTCTCTCAGCAAAAGCAAATAGTAAGTTACTTGTTATTGATAAAGAAAGCCTACTATAGTCTATTTAGTTCTATCTACGAAAAATGGCATTGGTCGAATATACCAGTTTTACTTAACTTTTGAACAATACGAGGAGGGACCCAAAAAAACCCGGAATTGTCTTCTGGAGTGTAGGCCCCTTGTAGTACAGGCTTCCCTCACCAGGTGAGTGCTCTAGGAACCCATCTGTATCAGTGTACCAGATGGCGTTGTTGTGAGGGGCTACACTTGGCTTCAGTTGCTTTTTTTTGGAAGACTCTTGCTCCATGTTTCCCCATCTCATGATGGGTGATTTACAAGTGCACATGCCCTGCGCTGAGTGTCCAGAAGTTTTTGACCCAAAAAAGGCATGACCTCCATGCCCCAATCTCCCTATACCCTATCTCTCCCCAACTGACGTTTTATTTTTTGTTTGTTTTCCCTGATGAAAAAAGCCCTCAAAGGGAAACGTTTTGCCAGTGTGGAAGGGGTCAAACAAAAAAACAGCAGAAACATTAAGAGGCATCAAAAGTGACAAGTTCAAAAACTGTTTTTGAGCAGTGGAAGAAAGGTTTCTATAGATGTATTGCATTAGATGGAGAGTATTTTGAATGTGACTAAACTTTTAACACGTAAGGATAAATACACAATTTTCAATAAATAAATTCTGTTTTTCTGTGGTCCTCCCTCATAAGTTTAACACATCTTTAGCTGAACCAGATAAAAGTCACAATGTCAATGAAACTGAAACATTCATAAAATGGCATTGCTTTCTTAAATGAAAACTGGCAATAATGTAGCTACACATTAAATATATGCATACAAAAATCAAAAAGTAGAAAAATATGCCATATTCTTGTATGGAACTTGTAGTCGAAAGCCTTTTCAATTAAAATCTGTAAGAAATGTATTTTTACTCTAATAAATGCCATCCAAAAAAGTATCATAGTAAAGGTTTTTGAGAAAAAAGACTATAAAATGGGAGTTGGCCCCACCAGAAAGGTATCAAGTATACTTATTTTTATAAAATAGTTACTAAACAATTGATGGTATCTTAATCAAAGCAAGAGTAAATAGATGAACAGAACTTCCAGAAACAAAGTCAAATTTACATTTGAAACAGCATCACAACCCCGGGCCAGATTCCCATGGAATCTCTGTGAATACCTCTGCTGAACAGGCATTCTAAGTTACTGTTGAAAAGTTAGTTACAAGGAGATTTTTGAAAACACATAAAAACAGTGAAATCACTGAAAGCGAAAAATCTACTCAATATCAAATCTGGAGATGAAAAAAATGCTTCTCAAATATTGTATTAAAGTAGAAAAACTAAAAAGGAAAATCCAGACTTCACTACGTAAGAATTGTCTAAACTTCTAAAAGTCAAAACAACATAAATTAATATAATTAACAGCAAATAATGTGCAAAATACATTTTAATATGAGAAATGGTTAATACTCTTAATATAGAAAAGGCTCTTAAAAGCAATGAGAATCAACCTGAATGGTCAAAAAACTATTTATAAGATAAAGACATAAAAACACTTATGAAAAAAATCTCACCAATAGCCAAAGGCATCTTAAAACAAGATTCCTTTTTAAAACTTCTATAACTGGAAATTTTTTAAAATTAACAGTGTCATGGAACTTCTGAGAGACATACAAAATTGGTCTGAATTATAAAAATCCTTTTTAAAATTGTGCTCATCCTTTAATTCAACAACCTTACTTCAAAAAAATTTGTCTTAAGGAAATATAGATTGTTCAAAAATGTTTAAGACTATATTTTTGCTGAACATAAAATTTGGAAAGAGCCTAAAAGTTCAGCAGTGGTATTTTATTAAAGGCATTTTAAATCATGACATGTTTAAAATCTATACTAAGCATTTCAAAAAAAAAATTGCTACCATTCCAAATGTTTAAGATAAAGAGACTATGTGCATTAAAAAAATCTGGGGGTGGACATTAAAATATTACCAACAATTATCTTTGAGTGGTGAGATGAACTGTATATTGTTTTCTTCTTTGTGCTTTTCTGTATTTTCCAAATTTTTATAACATTGCTTATACAATTTTAAGTAAAAAGTTACAAATTACCATCTATTGTACTTTATGAAAAATAATATCGCAATCACTCTTTCACAGTCCAACTTCTAGGCATTTCCCCTACGGACATAATTAAAGGTGAAAAAAATTATGTAAAAGGGTATTTATCACATTATTTATAATACAAAAACACGTGGCAATAACAGGAAACTTTTAAATAAAGGTGGGTCGAATGTGGATGAGCCATAATAAAATGCTATCAAAAAATATTAACATCAGTGAAAACACTCTACAGTTCTTAAAAAACACAAAATAAAAGAGCAGGACAAACTTTATGGGCATGATTCTCTTTTCACAACAACATATGCATAATGAATATATAGAAAGATAGAAACAAACTACAAAAACGTTAATAGTGTTTATCTGGAACTCCGTTCTATTTTAGAAATTTCTTTCAATGAAAATGTATTATTTTCATAGATAAATTATAGCTCAACAAAGTTGTACAGCCTTTTAAGTTTACATACTTGGTTGCTCCATCATCATATGTTGCCATTAAGACTATTGTTCCATCCTGTATGGATTTCAGAAACTCAATCAATGGGGCCACATCTGAAGAAAAAGATTGAAGTTTTTGTATTAATGACTGAGTAACCATCATGATAATCTGTAAAGTTAATAATATATTACATTTGTAAATTAATAAGGTCTAAGGTAAAGTAGCCAAAAGAGATAAATCTTATGAACATGTTAAAAAATTAAGTTTGTTTCTTAATATAATGCCACCATCAACTTAAAATTTCCCATCCTGATTCATCATGTATGTCTTTTGTACAGATATTCCAGGGGCTCAACGAAAACCTCACAGGAAAGTGATGGTAAAGCATTATTTATGATTTAAAGTAAGAAACTCGGGAAGCAGGAGAAACGTTCATGGACTCCCTCAGTGCGTGTAAATTTGTTTGTATGGGTACTTTTCTAAAAAGACAATATATAAATTTTATCCAATTCACAAAAGGACCTATAATTTTAAAAAATTATATAAATATGTATACTGATTTAAGGGATCTTCTGGGCATAACTACTTATTATAAACTAAGGGAAAGAATGTGGGTTAGTTCATCACTAAAGGGCAAGCTAATTATTGCAAATCTTACAGTCATTACCTGCTTTATCTAGTATATCAAGGTTCAGAATAAACCACCTCAGTGACTACAAACTGTTAGTTCTGAGAGTTAGACCAGACACTACAAATCATTTTATATCTAGAACAGCCCCCAAAACTAACATCACATTAAAACTGGGTTACTTCAAATTTACCCACTTTCTTTCCATAGCAAAGACTCTAAAGATTTTTCTTTAGCTGATTGTATTTTATAATATCATGTTTGATTCAGAAAATATGTAACAGTGGCTAACAAATCATTTCCATTTAAGTGCAAAGATGGCAGTGAACTGCACCTCTTTCTTAACTAGAGTAGCAGTTTCAGCAGTGATGAATGAATCTACCTGCGATGAATTACCAGAGCTTCTGGTTACACGGCTGACTGCAACAACATTTTGTTAAAGTATGCCCATGAAATAACTCATGGTAAGACCCATTATACGTTAGAATCTAACGTCAATGGTAGCATTTTAAGTTTACACAGTTTTGACAGCTATGAAAAGTTCACCTGATCTCATTTAAAAATAAATAACTTGTGGCATCTTGTTAAAGCTAAAGAAACATTAGAAAAGCTGAATTGTCTGAAAAGTCTTAAAACACATTTTAGGAAGCCTATGGCTATTGGCTTCTAGGCAGCATGTTAAGGCGATGGGGAGGTGCAGAAGAGCAGCCTCATGCTGATAAATTTACCAAACTAACAACGTAGAGGAGAATCAAAAGATAAACCAGTGCTGATTCTCCTCCAAAGGGAGACATCCCCGTTTTTTTTTTGTGCAGGAGCGGGGTTGGGGAGGACAGGCAGCAGCATTCTTCATCAAGGTGCGAGTTCCTTGTCTCTGTATGTGGTTGTGACCTCCACCTGCTCCTTCAGAGCTTCCAAATACAAAGGATATCTATCCAATGAATTAGAAAGAAAATTCTATTCTTTCTCTCAGATAGGCACCTACTATAATAATACACCTGCTTATGATTTATTTTTCAGATGAAAAGTTGTATGTAAAGAAATCAATTTAGTTCAAAATGGTTGATTACACACATCTCCAAATTACTTATTCTTTTTTTACAACTTCAAACAAAAACCTAAAGGAGACCAAAGCTTTGAAGTAGTTGTCCTGCAGAAAAGAGAACTCAGATTTTTTAAATTCTCAAGTTCCGTATCATTATTCTTAATTATACACCACAAATAATTTTTATAAAAAAACTATATGCAATATGACTGATCACTTAAATATAGCTCGACATTTAATGAAAGAGAAACAAAATGAACACAAAAATGATGCCATTAGGCTCTCATTACTGGGCTACAGTACACTGAGGTGATTAAAAAGTCAGTGCTAGCAACAGAACAGTTACTTGCTACTCAAACTTACCTCCTCCCCACATGTCAAAATACTTAGTGTCTAATACTTCTCCTGTTTTTCCTAAAAGAGATTGAATTCATATCAAATTAGGCAAGTGAAATATACTCTATGCTGTGTAAAACAAATATTTTTAGTCAATGGCTGATATAAATTATCTTGAGAGACTTGAAACCTGAACTTGAGCATCTGAAGTATGTGTTTCTAAAGGGTAATTTTTGGATAGGATTTTCTCACTAGTTTTGTAAGCCAAAGAGCAGTAAACAGAATTCTCAACGACTGCAGACAATTCCAATGCACAGTTAGGTATTTCAGACATACTTTTCTAAAATTTACATTTATTTCCCTTTTAAAATATATTATTTAAAATTAACAAATAAATAGACAAATAGGTATGAAGCTTTTACCAAAGAAATTGAAGAAAGCAGAAACACAAAATTTTGCCTCTCGTTGTGAAAGAATTAGAAAACATTTGCCTACACTATGGACTAGGTAAGGTAGCTGTGGTTTTAACCACCTTATGTAGCTTTACAGGTTCATTATTTTAGCAGAAAGAGAAGATCAGCATGCAGGTAGGCTTCACTTCATGGGTTTATATTTTCAGGTTTGATTCAGGGTTCATAAACTTATTTACTATAATGAACTTGTCAGAAGAATGTGGACAAATATTGAAAAATTACAATTAATTCTTACTTTTCATTCCTCCCTTACCCCATCCAATAGTCCATCACCCTTTGTCCTTGACACTTCTCATTCCTGTCAATTTATCTTCATATGTTAGGATTCTAACATTTGCAGCAAGAAGTAGCAGATTTAATGTTAGATGGGTTTTATCCTGACAATCCCACGGGAAGTTCTTCACACACTGCCACAGGAGTGGGATGCTTCAAAGAAAGCATGTCATAAATCCTCAGACATGACGTCTCCACCAAGAGCTGGATTTTTTTTAGGGTACAGGCAAGAGCGTGGGATAGGGCTTGAGTGTCGAGAGTGGCACTTTCAGATCTGATCCCTTGATATGAGAGTGTATTTTACTTTGGAGCATATGAATATCCACCGAATACATCCGTAAGCTAAAATAATTATTCTTACCATTCACCAAGGCAACATTGATCCCTCTTCCAACATTATTCTTAACACCGCTCATTAAACTGAAGGGAAAACATTAAGACAAACTTAGAATTAGATATTGCACAAACAGATATCAAAGAAAAAACACCTTCCAAGAAAATAAATGGTTTGGGATATTATGTATGTTCAATTGTTTAGTACTGCAGAGAAGATGGAAAGATCTCTACTGAGTCAGAGAAAAGAGCCTAATAATAACTTTAAAGCAATGTCCTTAAATAAGATTTCACAATGTCCTTAAATACACACTTCACAAATAGAAATATATATCTACAAGAATTAGGGCAAAATAGTAGGATTCTTTCTTGTTGCTCTGCATCAGATTATGAAAATACCATTTTAGAAAATCCTTAGAACATGGACATTATGCACATATTCTATACCATCCTTCTGCACTTTCTACAATTTCAAATGCGACATGAAAACAGAAGGGAGACACTTTCCAAATTTTCCACAATCTGAGAACAAGAAGAGTAGGGGAACACTCTTCCATGAGTGCAGTTTCCCAATACTCAGAAGTAATACTGTAATCACATAATGGTTGCATCTAACCAATGATCACTGTGTCACACCTGAGGGAATCGCAGACACAGCAGCTCTCAGACGGTCACATACAGACAGTGACACTGAGACATTAGTGAAGGCATTAGTGAAGCATCTGCTTGACACCAGTTTGATCTGTTCAATGGGAGTTATTACACTAAAATCGTGGGTACCTTTAAAAAATTAATAGTGATACTCTCAGTAGTGTGCTATTCAATGTTGAACAACTAGTTTGAGGTCCAGTCTGGGGAGAGAGTATACAAGTGTGAATACAGACATGTGTATCCAGATATTTATACTTCTATACATACACATACAGGTATATGTATTTACTGTGAATTTTACAGATATACAGTATGTGGAGCACATAATTTCACAAATAATAAAATCTATAATGCTTGATTGTAAATTCCTCAGAGCCAATTGAGTCTCACTGAATGTGCTAGCTGATTTTCTTAGAACTTGTATCTGTAGTTAACCTATGGTTGCAACTGATGAACAAATGTAGTACTAACTCTCAAAACCCAGCAGCAAAAAACCAAACAATCTGAACGAAATGGAAAAGCAACATGAATAATAATTTCACTGAAAAGGATATACAGGTGGCAAAAAAATCCTCCTCAAAACCCCAAAACCCAAATCATTAAAAGATGTTCAACATTACTAACTATAAGTAAAAAAATAATAATAAAGATATCACACTACACCCCTATTAGAACAGCTAAAATAAAATAGTGACAATACCAAATGCTGGCAAGTATACAAAGAAACTGAATTTCTCAAATGTGCTGGTGGGAATATAAAATGGTGCATTCATTCTGGAAAATATTTGGCAATTCCTTACAAAATCAAACACACAACCCAGGATTCCTGGGCACTTTATGGCAGAGAAGTAAAAGTGGATGTCCACATAACAACCTGTACGTAACTTTTCACAGTAGCTTTACTGATAACAGTCAAACACTGGAAATAACTGAAACTGTTTGGCTGAAGACAACAGGTGTTGGATAAACCAATTGCAGTATATCCACACCAAACGATAATGCTCAGCAGTAAAAAAGGGAGGGAGCAGATTATTAATGTGCACCAGTATTTCAAGAGCATTATGCCAAGTGAAAAAAAAGCCAATCTCAATTGTCACACACTGTATGATTCTATCTCTATGACATCCTTAAAACATAATAATAATAGAAATGATAAACAGATTAGTGGTTGCCAGGGGTCAGTGATGGTAGGGGTGACTTATAACAGGGTAACAAGAAAGAGATCTTTGTGGTGATGAAATATTTCTGTATCCTAATTGCTGAGTTCATTACACAGATCTACACGTATGATAAAATGGCACAGAACTAAACACACACATTGCATCAATACCCATTTGTTGGTGCTAATATTGTATTATAATTACATAAGAAAGAACTGGGTGAAGAGTATGCTGGATCTTTCTGCATCATTTTTCCAGCTGCTTGTGATTTCCATAATTATTTCAAAATAAAAAGTTAAAAAATACTCTACTATCATGTCCATTTAAAAAAGTATTAAGAAACAAAAAAAGTATAAAAATTTGATTTTTAAAAGCTTAGTAGCATTTACCTATTTATCTACCTATGCTGGTTGCCTATCTGCCTTCAAAATTTCACTTGTAATTTTCTAAAATGTACACGTAATAAAGCACAGAACTTTTTATGTATGTGCAAGACTACTTCTGAGGTGGGTCAAATGATTCTGCTACACAAAAGACAAAGGAAGTTTCAAAATGCTTTTGTTCTGCTCCTTTCACAAATATATAAGTGAACACTATTATTAATAGGCAATAGCTGTGATTAATTTGTTACATTAATAATTGTCACAGTGTCTTCTCCAAATATGTATCATCTCAGACTATACTGCTGGGTCTATCACAGAGCAAAGAAAAAAAGGCAACAAAGAAGCGCTATAACATGGGCTTCCCACAAGAGGGCAGCAGCTTACCAGTTTTTGAAAATGAATTCAAGCAAGGAAACCTGTAATTGAACTTTTTAAATGTATAAAGCCTAGTCGTCACTCTTACTAACACAAGTGGAAATATTTTCTTTTATCCTTCATGAATATGAAGGTTACCACTCCCCACCATTCCTTATCTCTAGGCAAAAAGCTAAAGAAAATGATCATATGATCATATAAAGTATAGACAGAGTCTACATCTTCTAATATAGTTTTGATGCAAATATCTACTATGTTTTAGGTGCTACTTAAAATGATTAGTTTAGAGCAGGGTTTAACAAACTACCTCATGGGATAAATCTAGCTGCCTGTGGAGTTTGTGTTGTGTGTGCATGTGTGTGTTTTTGTTTACTACTTGTAAGTTTAGAATATTTTACATTTTTTAAAGGTCACGTTTTAAACAACTACATAGGTACTTGCATAATATTCTTGATTTTACTTCTTTGCCCTCACAACCAAAAATACTAGCTGACCCCAGGAAGAAATAAAAACCCCTTAAAACAATCTACTATATATTCCTATACCAAATATTCAGATTACATAATAAAAGGTAAAGTATTATTCCTAATACCAGCTTTTATAAACTGAAATCAAATGAGTATATGTCTACAATAAAAACTACATCTTGAACATAAGTAAGTTCTATGGGTTCTCTATACAAAAGAAAAAGCTACAATTTCTATTATGTGACCCCTTATATTTATACCCAGAATTTTGTCTTTCTAACTAAGGAAACGCATCTTAATCTCCATAGCATATATCTTGACTGCATCCACTTATCCTTAAAACCATGACCCACAATCCTAGTCATAACTATCGCTCTTTGTCTGCATTGGGGTTTCTCCGTCTGTGCTACGATGGGCCTGACAGTTTGTGTGGAGGGGCTCTGCCGTGCAATGCAGGATGTTTAGGAGCCAGCGTCCCCGGCCCCTGCCCCGACAGAGTACCACCACAGCTGTGACAACCCCTAATGTCTCCGGATTCCAACACATGCCCCCTCGGGAGCAAAATCACCCCTACTAAGAAGCACTAATAGTTTATGAAGTGAGTTGCATGTACTCAGAACACATGTAGGAAAATATTAAAATGTCTACTTATGTATTTTTAGTATCCACTTACATATTTTAGTGAGTAACATGTGAAGTCATTGCCAATGGTGGGGGCAGGGGAGGGCGGTGTCAAAGAGCTATGGCAGCTCTTGGCCATGGCCTTCCAATTGCTTCCCTCCTCCACTCCTCTAATCATTTTATATAGCAGTCAGAGGATTTTTTTTTTTTTCAATAATAATGAAATTGTGTCATGCCAGAGTTTGAAAACCATCAACAATTCAATTCACTCAGAAAAATATATCAACCCCTTACCTGAAAGGCCTACAAGTTCCCATTGGCCTGGCTCTTTAGTTTTTCTTTCAGTTGTATTTTGTATTGGTTTAAGGCAGCAATTTCCAGCCTTTTTCATCTCATGGTACACACAAACAAATTACTAATATTTTGCGGCACACAAAAACATTTTTTGCTAATGTGACAGAAAATAGGTATTTTAGATTGATTTACTAAAAAATAACAGTAGGAATTAATTACCTACCCGTTTTGATCCGTAGTGACTTTAAATAAAATCAGGTACTTATACTTGCATATGAGGATTTCTGGTACCAAGAATTAACCTATCAGATGCAACCTTATTGTGCAACCTGACCAATAAGATGCAAATCTTATTATATCAGATATATTTATGGTTCAAGATAGGGTATTCACATTGGACAGCTATTGTTGTGTTGGCTGTTACTTTTTTTTTTTTTTTTTTTAAATTTTTAAATCCTCCCTGGAGGACATGCTTATTGATTTTAGAGAAGGGATGAGAGAGAGAGAGCGCAAGAGAGAAACATTGAAGTGAAAGGGAAAGATTGATTGGTTGCCTCCCATATGGATGCAACCTGGGATGAAACTTACAACCTTTTGGTGTTTGAGGTGATGCTCCAACCACTTGAGCCACCCGCCATGGCTGCTGTCAGTTTTTTTTCTGACAATTGAAGGGAAAAGAGGTCAGTGCCCCCATCTAAATAGGTATTGAATGTTTTAAAAATTTCTATGGCACACTGGTTGAAAATCTCTGGTTTAAGGTGTACAGCTCAGTGGTTAGACAATCGTATACAAATATATACTTTATACAGTGTTCCCCTTGACATTTCCAGTATCCACCTGGCACCATGCACAGTTACTATGATATTATTGACTGTATTTACTGTATTTTACTTATATCCTCATGACTATTTTGTAACTACTAGTCTGTACTTACTAATCTTTGCGCTTGTTGCCTGGCTCTTATTCACTCCTCCCCACCTTAGGGCCGTTTGTCTTCCTGCTGCCCAGAATGTTCTTCTCCTACTTTCCACTGGATGTCTTACTTCTTACCCTTCAATTCTCAGGCTAAACATCACTGTGTTGGAGAAATTATTCCTTGACTCACTAGATCTGTAGGACGCTTCAACCTCATCTCAGCCCCATATTGCACACCCTGAAACTCTGTACAGCTTGTGACGTGTCTCCAGTTTAAATCTCTCTGTCCCTACCAACCGTGAGTTCCATGACAGCAGAGACAATGTTCAATAATCACTTGATGATTATTTGAGTAAGTGAATAAATTATGCTAAGAAAACTCAGACTCTTTCTTTAATCTTTTTGCTGGAAAAACTTTCAGTACAGAAACAGAAGGTATTGGAAGAAGTACAGGTCCCTGCAGTTTTTCCACTGGGGATGCCTGGCTAGTCCTTTACCAGGGATTCAATTTCATGACTAAGGCCTTGCTTTAAAATCTCATCATTTGAATGGTGGTACAATTCCTGAAATAAGGGTAAATAGGTGGTCTGCCTCAATTTTACAGTTAGAGAAACTAAAACACAAATTCTACGTGACATTTCCACACACTAGAAGACAAATTCCCTGGCTCTGAGCCCAGTACTTATTTTATCAGACTCCACTGCCTACATATTCTCCCCCCTCCCCCTTTTCGGCCTATATAATCTACCTGTAAAAAACCTGCTAGTAAAGACTTTGACCTTTTTATGCGTTAAAGCTTACATACTTCAGGTGGGTAGAAGAGATCGCCAAAGGTAATCCCATGGGACAGAAATGCTAAGAAAACTTCCTTCCCACTTAGAATTTAAAACCAAACGTGGAGCCTCTCCAGCCAAACAAAGTAAGATAAGAAAATGGGAACATTCTAAGTTAATAGGAAAGGTATTATTTAATGTAAGACCTACAAACTAAAATCCAAGTGCTTTTTTCCAAATTCAGTAAAACAGGACTATTATAATGAGAAATCAGAAGACAACAGATAGAATGGACTATCATTAAGATGAGGAGGAAAAAAGCAAATGAGTTGGGACTTTAAAGATCAACTAGCTCAAGCCTTTAATTTTATAAAAAAGTGTTACTATTATAAGAGGATATGGAGCCTACCTGTAGCAAACTGGAAAAGAGGCTAGGATAAATATTTAAAAGCTTCTCTATTAAAAAGAAAAGACAAATGAAATCCTTGGAGAAATGGCCTAGTTTCCTCATCTTTATCTGTAAAATTATCTCACTCTTTATTTTCATAATTAATGGCATATTTATTATTTTACATGAAGTCTAAATAAGCTCATCTATCTAATTTTCTAGGCAAGAGCAGATCAAAAGCAACCAGCTAAAAATAGGTTCTGTGACTTCAGATGTAGAAACTTGAACAAGTGACAGTTGACACTGAGGTAGGAGATTGAAAAATCTAAAAACTATACTTTGCCAAGCATCTCGATACAGGGAGCCCACTGAGCTCAGCAGTGCAGCTCTGTGCCATGAAAGGCTTGAGGCGATTACTGGGTCATTTCATACTTCAACAAGCAGCATTCAGACCTTTAAAATGAAAGATGTTGGTTTGTAAGATAAAGTGCTCATTATCAACGGCACTGCTATCAAATAGGACAGTGATTTTCAACCATTGTGTAAGAATTTTTAAAACATGCACTACCTATTTAGTCAGGGACCTCTTTTGCCTCAGAGTGTCAAATGAAAAAATGACAACAGCCAACACAACAATAGAGATCGGTGCGAATGAATCAAAATTATACCTTTTTTTTTTGTCAGAAGGGCAAAAAAATATATTTTTTGGCGTGCTGCAGAATTTTAGTTATTAGTTATGAGTGCCGTGCAGTGAAAAAGGCTGAAAATCGCTGAAACAGGACTTTGCAGGGATGGAAACACTGACCCCCCATGCTGCTCCAGCCTGCAGGCTCCGGCCACAAGGGGCTCCCGAGCCCTGAAGTGTGGCCAGTGTGACTAAGGAACTGAGGTTTAAATTTTAATTAATTTAAATGAATTATCTTTTTCCTATGATTTAATAATCAAAATTAAATAGATACATGGGTCTATGGCTACCATACGGGACAGCGCAGATCTAGAGAATTCACTCAGGAAACCCTTAATCCTTCACAAAACGGGATGAATACTGTTATGTCACTCTCCAATGAAATATAAGAACTTTTCAGACTCCTTAAAGGCATGGGAAAAACTGTACCATGAAAATGAAATCACTTTTCTTTAGTGAAAGTGTGCCCAAAACATTTTAAAAGATCCACTAAATTCAGGGCAATTTGCTGTATTTCAGGTTCAATCTTCTATTTCCAAATGGATGAATACTCACACGTTGTCCTCTAGGCAGATTTTGGGTCCCACCACATTGGCTGCTCCACTTGCCATCTTAAAAGCAAAATGCTTCTCAGGACAAGCTTTTGAGATCCCACACTTGTATCTGGGAGGTTTTGTAGCTTTGGAAAAGAAAATAATTTTTTTAAAGATTTTATTTATTTATTTTTAGACACGGGAAGGGAGGGAAAAAGAGAGAGAGAGAAACATCAATGTGAGGTTGCCTCTCGCGTGCCCCCTACTGGGGACCTGGTCCGCAACCCAGGCATGTGCCTTGACTGAGAAGCGAACTGGAGACCCTTTGGTTCACAGTCCAGCGCTCAACCCACTAAGCCACACCAGCCTGGGTGAAATAGATTTTTTACAAGAAAACAATGTTAACGGACTCTATAATCAGTTTATTTCAAATCTCAAACCACAAGGGAATTATGTAAATCACCAAGATCTAGATATCATAAAATACACCCTAGGATTTTTTTTCCCCTGCGAGTTTCAAAGAGTGTCAAAACAAAACAAAACAAAAACAAGCACTGAGGGACCAAATTAATAACTGACATTAATGAATCAAATAATAGGATCTTGATGTGGGTAAATATATTCTATCTAATTATTTTTGTTTACTTACTGAATTCAGGATGGGTGGTAGGTTTTCCATTGTTACTTTGTGTTTTCAGTGCAGAAATGCACAACAAATGGTTGCAAACTAAAAAGCCTAATGCATCACTGAATGGTCTGCTCACATCATATAGTCCTCCTTTTACACACTTTCTGTACTTATCATACTGAAGTCAAAATACTAATGAAAAAAAATACTCATTATGAATAAATACCAAGAACGGTGGGCTATCCAATCAAATAGCATTCTTGTAAGTTCAGAAACCAATTTCTAAATCAGTTTTTCTCACACTGAACTATCTCCACTGTTCAAAAACAAGTTCTCGTGTGCCTAAGGGGGGAAAAGAAACAGAATAAATCATCTGCAAATTATTGGGATGAAATACTTACAACGTGCAGCTGTGTCCAATGCTGACCTTGCTAAGGAAAAAAAAAAGTTATCTGTTAGAAGGAATAAAAGCTATGGGCAAGTATCAATCTCTAAAAGATTTAGAGCTAACAAACCTATAAAAATAAAAGTGTTTGAAAATTGCTCAGAATATAATAAATAAAACATGACCATCACTTTAGAAAAACAGTGAGAAAGTAATATTAGGCTATATAATTTAGGATAATCAATTATGTGAAGAAATTATGGTGGGCAGTATTTTATTACAGGTAGAACATTTTATATTTACTTTACATTTTGATTTTATTTTTAGTTACTATACACTTAAATCCTAGTCAGAATGTCATTCTATGAACTTACCATTATTTTAATTTTTTATTATTTACTTTTTTGAGAGAGGGGGAGGAAGATGGAAAGAGAAGCAAAACATCAACGTGAGAGAGAAATATCAATCAGTTGCCTTTCATACATGTCCTGACCAGGGACTGAACCTGCAATTCAGGCATGTACCCTGATAGAGAATTGAACCAGCCATCTTTTGCTTTGCAGGACAATGCCCAACTAACTGAGCCACACAGGTCAGGGCAATTTGTTTTAACCATTTTTTAAAATTTATTAATTTTTTTACCTTGAGATATAACAGACACTTAATGCTGTGCAAGTTTAACGTGTACAACAGGCTGATTTGGTACATTTATAAACTGCAAAATGATTACCACCACAGTATTACCTGCTATCTCCATCACATCACATAATTACCATTTCTTTTTTATGGTAAGAACATTTAAGATCTACTCTTTTAGCAACATTTAAGCATTATAGTATGATAAAGTATTAATAGCTGCAAATACCATGCTGTACATTAGATTCCCAAACTTGTTAATCTTATAACTGGAAGTTGTACCTTTTGAACAATGTCCTCCCTTTTCCCCCCAACCCTCACCCCTGATAACCACCACTCCAATGTTTCTCTGAGTTTGTTCTTTTCAGATGCCACATTTAAGTGAGGTCCTATGTACTTCAAACTTCCTTTTAAATGGCTTTAAATATATACTTGGTGACTATTAGGGTGTTTAAAAGTTGTTGCTGCTAGATGGTATTATGTACATATGCATACAAAGTCCTGGAGTATATACACAAACCTGCCTTAGTGGTTAGGCTAGGAGACTGGGAGGGTGGGAAGAACACAACAGGGATGGTGGTGGTGGAGAGCTTTTCTCGAAAACAGAAGTGTATTGTGTATAATAAAAAAGAAATTAATGTCATTATGAAGACTTTTATAATTTATCAGTTCAAGGAAGCCAGAATCTTCTGATTAAATCTTAACTTGAACTCAGCAGATCTTAACCAGATCATCTATATTTAGAGCTTTTTTAAAAGCACTAATATCTGATCCTCCCCCAGGAGATTATAATTCAGATCATCTATAGCGCTGTGGACAGCGATTTCCTGAAGTGGCTAATAAATATGCAGCGTCGCAAATGTTTGCCAGCTGTTTGACTATAAATAGTTACTTAGTTTTTATTTCTGTACTATTTTAGATAATTGTGAATTTCCTGTATATAAGTCCAGTACTCAAACTAGAGAACAGAAAGTTAAAGCTGAAAAATATTATGTAAATGTTTTAAAAAGAGAAAAATAACCAAGTAATTGAAGATTCATTCACTATATAGAGCACTCAGAATATCATGCATGATTCAAGTCATAAAGGCACTGTAGTAACATGAGAAAAGTTGAATGCATTTGGAATAAAGCAGAAAACAAAATGTATCTCTATTAAAAATATTCATGGATTAAAAAAAAAACCTGAAGGAAAGAAAAAAATGATCAGTTAGTAAGTTAGGGTGCTGGAATTACTGGGCCTTGTTCTTTTACTCTTGTTAATTATTTCATTTTTCCTTAATCATATCATAAATGTGAAGGAAGAATAATTAGAGAGATCATCCAGTCTAGTGCTCTCATTCTTGTAAATGAGAAAGCCCACAGTTATTAGCAACCAGTGATTAACAACATGAGAACTAGAGATTCTCAACTGTATTCTGTCCTGAACAAACACATTCATCATCAGGCTCAGGTTTTAAGTTGCTTACAGGACGTTGTTCAAATCAGGATTCTGGTCTAGCTGACTTACGGTAGCAAGGTAAGAGGAAGGAAGTGGGATCAGAACAGGGGTAGCATAATGTTGCTCATTCACACACGCTGGGCATTCATCAGTACTTCTGTAACAGGGGACACACTCGCAGGAAATGGGGAGGGGTTTGAGTGTGCATGCCTAACTGGAGATTTTGCCCCCTTGTTAATAAACACAGCGGCGGGATGCAGAGCAAAGGCAAACATGGCCGGCGCTGGCTTTCATTTGTTGGAAGGCCGGACACTCCCACTGGTTTCCCACACGGGATTCTAGGAGAGGGCGTTGGAAACATAGTGCACTGGAAAGAAAAGGGCAGTTGGTTCTTTCCCTCCCCTGCTGGTGCCAATGGCTGCCAGCAGGCCTGTGCACAGAGGCCTGGGGGCACAGACTCCTAAAGGTGCCTGAAGCTGGACAGTGAGTGCAGACCATAGCCACCTGCATTCATGATACTTTTTGGTGGGGAAAGAGGTTCCTGGCACATCCTTGACCTGACCTGGCAGAGGGTGACAGGGTGATTTTTCTTTGGGTGTCTTGGAACAGGCTTTGAGGCAGAAACCTGCCGTTATTTCCAAGACCTTAGTGGTAACAGTCAGCACTGTGAACAAATTTTTGTTCTTGCGTTATTTTCAGTTCTTGAACCTATGTAGTAGTTGTAATGACAAACTGACTTTTCCTGCCCCCTTACTTTTGTTACCCAGATTATTTTAGGCAGAAACATGCCTAAAATAAAAGATTAAGTAAAAGATTCTTTTCTTTTCCACTGAACTCTGTCTTTGGAGATTTGCCTGGTAGGCAGCAAAGGGTAGGACTCTCCCACCCCCACTGTTTGGGTTCAGTAACATTTCTGCATATATTATTGATTTGAGCATCATCGCTGTTTTAAAGAGAAAGAAACTGGGAAGAGAGAGGTTTACCAATTTGATTTGTTCTACATCATAATTAGTAATTGTCAGAGCTAGTTTCCAAAGCCATATCTCATTCTAGCACCCAAATTCATGTTGCATCACCCCCAGAAATGAGAATGCCTGAGGCCTTATGATCACATGTACAAAAACTGCTAGTCATGCTAGGAGCAGAAAGCCAGGATATGGAGTTTTCAGAACAAGCCTTCTGACTTTTGAGTGCAGAGCAGACTGCACAGGGTTCAAAGCTTGAGACAAGGAGTCCACAAGGATGCTGCTAAAGTAATCCAGGTAGAAAAGAGTAGCATCCCAAACAAGGGCTGTGAAGTTGGGCTTCAAAGAAGTAGGCAGGTCCAGAACAACTTAAGGAAGCAACACTGATGGGTCTTGGGAATAGGCCAGATGGAGGGTGAAGGAAAGAGAGGAATCAAGCTTGTCTCTCAGACATTTAGCTTTAGAAGCATTCATTTATTCATTCACAAGAGCCATAAATAAATAAATACACCACCAGCTCTGAATTCAAGATGTTTATAATCTAGTGAAGAGATGGGAGTAGGGGATGGACAATGAGTTCTGTGTTGGACTTGTAAATTGTTAACACTTGGAGCAGATCCAAGTGGCAAAGTCTAGAGGTCAGCAGTAAATGAGACCTAGGATACAGACATAAACTAGAAAGTTAGCCAATGATTGGGTGGTGCCACCCAAAGGGAGGATATAAAGTGAGAAGAGGGCTGAGGAGAGAACCTTAGAGATACCAAAAATCACTTAATGCTCAGGAAAGACTGGTAGAGGAAAGGGAGGTAGAAGGAAACTGAGGGATGAGCCTCTAAAATAGTCAAATTAGTCTGCTTGTAAAACTTAAGAAATGTAAAAACAGTTAAGTACTACTCAGTTCAAAAAATTTTACTGGAATACATACAATGTTGGAAAAAGCATTTCATTAATCATCGGTCTTTTAAGTGAATAACATCATGTCCATTTAATTTGTGTATAAGTAAGGGGAGATCCTTAAAGATACTTGTGAAAGACTTTTCTTTCCAGATGAGAACTAATTTTTATCCAAAGTTCATCAACACTGAAAGATCTCTACTAGCTCTGCAATTCTGAAAATTTTAACACCTGGAAGCCAACAAGTAAATTTTCATAAATAAAACAGGATTATTTTTTACATGCAGCACACCGGCATAGCATACAAACACAAATCCTACCTTTTCTGTAACTTTTATTCCTTAAACTACTTGATAGTTTTAATTCTTAATTTCTTTCAACACACAACTTTTCACTTCAAGGAACAATAATAATAAACATTTCTGATTTGGTTTCATCAATGAATATCTTTCAACAAGTCAGGCTGAAGAAATCAGAGAGAATTATTTTATTCTTTAGTTTTTAGTAATGTGAAGTAATTTATGTATATGCTATTTCAATGGTAAGTCTGAAAGAATAAAAATAAATCAACTCAATATAACATTAAGCACTTACTGCAGTAATATGCAAAAAATAATTTGGACTGCGTTCATTACATTCAGTAGATGTTAAGAGTCCATGCTGAAAACTAACACTACGTTAAATCACAATCATAACTAAGACTGGCAGATTGTGTCCATGCTGATAGCTTGGTTTTGACACTGTATATAGTTTTATGAGCTATTACTCAGTGAAAAACTGAGTAAAAGCAATATAGGACCTCTGTGTATTATTTCTCACAAATGCTTATCAATCTACAAAATAGAAAGTTTCATTAAAAACTTTTTTAAAAAATCACAGTCTACTTTGGTAATTTCAACTACTAATTGTGGGCAAAACTTTCATTCTTCCTTTCTAGAACGAAGTTCACTTTATTTTTCTAAAATAACACTATATAATATATCTGAATCTAAATGAATAGAAACGATTAGTTATTACATCAACAAGATGAAAAAGTAGAAACATTCACCACCAAAAGAACTACAGTTACTAGATTTACCAAAGTAAGTTATATAAATGTCTAATCACTTACATGTATATATGTTATATACCTGAAACTAATGAAATATTTTATGTCAATTGTAATTTTAAAAAGTTTAATTTTTTAAAAAAGAAACAGTTATTCTCATGGTCCCTCTCAGACACTGATTTTAGGAACAATCCTAATGTCCAGTGAAATTTGTTATCCTTTGGTAAATTGTCAGATGTTAAACAAATGACAAAAACAACCATATCTTCATCTTTGCTCAATTACTCTGAAATGAGAAGTAAAATATAACCATACAAATTAAGTTTTCATCAGTTCAATAGACTGGAATCCAATAAGGTTTTGTGGATAGGGTGTATGACTTAAGTTATAACAACAAAATCAACCACCTGCCCTAAGAATGTCTAAATCAAACAGCTAAAACACACACTATGAGACCCTACAAGTTCCCAAAACTGGGAAAAATCAAAATGAAAATGAAGAAAAACTATCCTAATTAAATTAGCTCAGTATTCTTTCATAGCTGATGACCAGCAACTTTTCAACTAACACAGCTTTAAATGAATCCCACTTTGGAAATATTCTTTTTTCCAAAATTGAGACAACTGTAACAGAATAAACATGATTTAAAAATAAAATTAAAAAAAATTTGGAAATACTTTTTCCATGTAAAAATTCTAATTTTCAATTACCTACATTCATTTCCCATTCAATCAGCATTTACTATTTACAGGGCCTAGCTCTAGATGCTGGGTTAGATGCTGGGTGAAAATCAAGGTACTACTCCCCTCAAGATTTATTACCTGGTAAGGGAAGACAAATACATAAAAAAGGATAAAAGAAAAGAAACTATAATATAAGGCAGAATAAAATCATTGTCCAATTGAGATATAACTACTATGCATTAGAACAAAACAGTTCAGAAACAGGAGCAATACATTCTAATAGGGAAAAGGGAGGTTCAAATACAATTTCTCTTAAGAAGGAGACATTCATGCAGTTTTGAAAAATGAAAAGGATTAACAGATGAAGGGAGATGGGAAAGATGTGCAGGGTGAGGCAATTGGCATGAGCAAAGGCTGGGGTATGAAAGGGCATAATTTGTGTCCCTAGATCATGGGCAGATTAGCAAAGCGAGTATGAGGCACGGGTGGGAGGGGCAGAGAGCAGGTGAGAGAAGCAGAGGCAGGTTGGGGGTCTGGGTGCTGTCCTGAGTAGGGAGTGCAGATTTCACCCTCTGGTAACCAGCATTAATAAAGGTTCCCGAGTTTTAGTAACTCTGGCAGTAGTGAGCTAGGCATGCGTCAAAGAGGAAAAACAGATACAGCGAGTCCGCTTTGATGGTTACAGAAAGGGTCCAGGCTCAACACAAATATCCGAAACAGACGAAAACACTGGCTTCATCCAGCCTCTTCTCTCTGAAAACAGTGGGCCTTTTCCCAAAAGTTTTGTTTCTACCAGTGGTCCTGTTGCCTCCCTTCTCCCAAAGATCCTGCTTTTCTTGTCTGTCAATCTCTTTCCACTGATTTGTAAATCACTGCTTTGTCCAAGGCCTCTCTAGACAACTGAAAAGTCTCTCCATTACTTCAAAAAAGAAAAAAAATGTTCCACGTGCTCCTGCCTCAAACTACCACCCCATAATCCTCTTCCTTAACCATCAGCCTTTCTTAGAAGCATTAGCTATACACACTGTTCCCACAGCAACCCTGGACAAGTCCTTGATGACTTCAGTGTCTTTCTGCCCCCATCATTCAACTGAAACCAGTTGCACTTTCCAAGGCCAGCAGACTGGGCCTTTGTAGCAACAGGAATACCATATGCAGAAGAAATCAGTCAAATCTCACTGTACTTTGCAATAACTACTCTATCTTGAATCCTGGATACTTCATTTTGGGACAGGTGGTGAAAAACAGACTGTTCAGAAGAATAACTACTACATTAACAGAAATGATTGAAAGGGAAGATTCCATAACTTGACAAGATAAAAACTTAAGATAAAAAAAATGACCTGAATGAGTATGACTACAATTTAACTATATGAGGTATCATTAATATAAAAGAGAACTCCAGCATTAGAAGCAAGTGAATTCCTATCATTTACCCAAGAATATAAAAGGTAGAATTTAGTGCAATACAAGGAAGTACATTTAAGTAGTCATTGTAAGAAAGTCACCTAAAAATGTTTCTACAGAAATTGATGACTACATATCCGAACTATCTAAAGACTTGATACACCGAATATGTTCCATGGATAGGAACCTCAGCATCACCTGGGAGCTTGCCAGAAATTCAGACGCCCAGGCCCCATCCCAGACAATCAATCAGAACCTGCATTTGCAAAGAGTCCCTGGAGATTCCTTTGACAGTAAAGTTTGAGAAGTACTGCTTTAAGGGAGTCTTTTTGTAGTTGTTGTTGTTGTTTTACATTAGTAACTTCAAAATACATTTATTACTAAGTATTTATTGTTTTCATGGTAGCCTCAGTGACTCTTTTTGGTGTAGTACCAAACATTGCTATTTTCTTTTTCATGTCTTTTTCAAAACTAAGTTTTAGGCATATTAGAAGAATAATGTTGAAAAGAGTTTCATAAAAGTTTGCTGCAATTAAGCTGACTTGTAATTTCATGTATATCTTCTAGAGATTATAGAATGGTATAGATGCATAATATGTTTGTTTGCTTGTCTTTAGTTTCCTATCTTTGTATTTATTTGTTTGCCCAAACCATCTTGTGTAAAAATTAAAAGAGATAAAGAAATACAACAAATAATTTAATAATCATCTATATTCTCACTCCCACACTTGCTTCTAAGTATTTTTTTGTTTGGTTTTTGTTTTTAAGGAAGTAAAACATAAAGCTCAAGTCCCCTTATCTACTGCTCAAGTCCCACAGGTAACTGATGACTTGGTGCTTAGCCTCCTGTTTGTGTTTTTTTTTTTAAGTATTTTATTGTTTATGCTATTACAGTTCTCCCAATTTTTCCCCCTTACACCTGAAAACAGATGTAAGGAGAAGTGAATTAGGTCTTGTGGTTTCCTTCCAAATATTAATTTATGAAAAGCAAAACTGGTTATTCCAGAGATCTGAAAGTTGTTTCATCCCATTTCTGCCGGCTAGGTCAAAATATGTTAATTGGTTTCATAGCCTCATCTTTCAAGCATAGTTTTTTAATACCTTAAACAACAGCCAAAGCTTATGCAATCATTTCAAATGTCAATTTAGTTTTATTAATGTAATTATTTGGTTAAAAACAAGAGTTAAGGTAGCTTATAGTGATGTGTTTACAATATGGCATTAAACAAATTGGTAAAAAGAAAAATGCTGCAGAAGGAAAATAAGGGTAAAAAAGCAAAGGGGATTTCTATGGCTGGTATTTAAAATGCATTATCACGTCTCCTAACCACTTTTTAACTGAGAGCTAGGTTTGGTTCCAAGTGTTCTATCAGCCAACTCAAATACAGTGTGATATCTTCTAGAATGCACCTTTGGAATACCATGGATAATGACCCTAAGCATGTGTGAAACAGCCCCCATTAAATATATTCAGAACGCTGAATGGAAGATTTAGGCTTTATACTGAATTAATTTTAAGACTTTCTATTGTGTATTTTATAATATTCTAATGAATCGTAATTGCTGGTATAATTACATTTTCTTTTCTAGACAGGCTAAACAGCAGTGACTCAATGTTGATAAGTGATAAACAATCACATCAAAAACAAGGTTTAAGAAAGGGAAAAAATGGAACTTACCAAATAGACTTCCTAAACTTGCATCCATTTTTATTTCAAATACTTGAGAAATAACATAAAATGTCAGTAAAAATACTGCCACAGCGACCACCAACTTTGCAGCACCTAGATGAAGGGCAGAAATGAGCTTATAAACCCACAGGACTTTTATTATATGACATTTCAATGAAGAGTTGTAAGTTTATAAAAAAAATTTTTAAGATTAATACATTTTACTTTTTATCTATTGAGCTTAATTATACTTGAGTTACAAAAAAAATTGTACCAAATATCCATCAAGATAAAGGATTTTCCTGATCAAAGAATTATCAGATTGGCTGGCAATCTAGAAAAAGAACTGCTTGAGGCATCTGTCTGATTTTACACACAAAAACATGACCTGCCATCAATGGCCGGCTGCCTACACACAGTGTCATGGTTAATGGAAGACTGCCACTAAGTATGTTGGATGACCCATTCCTAATTCTTTCCAACTATAAAGGGCAATAATACTATACAGCGATGATAACAAAACACTGAACCTTCTGGAGATACTAACACAACAGAGCAAGATGTCCACAAAGGAACAAGTTCTCACGTGAAATGTCCTGTCACCAACTGACCTATCTCTTGAGGTGCATGAGTGCTCCCGGTATAGTGACCAAAAAAGTATTCCTTCTCATACTTGATACCTAGTTTAAGACAAGCCTTTCCCAGCCCTAGACAACTTCATTTAGCACCTATCATACGTGATTCACAATGTAGTTACAGGGTAAGCTCCATGAAGACAGACTCTTAGTCTTTCAGCCTTTTATATCTTTAACCGTTTCTGAGTGCCTTACAAGTAGCAGTGCTATTAACTAATTAAGTGCTAAACATGAATCATCATTTGTCCTTTTTCTCCAAATCTCAGTAATCCTAGGAAAGAAACAGTGAAAGGCAGGAAAGGAAATGGAAAGTGATAGGAAGGAAACGTCTTCTTCTCACCCTAAGGATTTCAGAGCCATCTCATTAGGTTATTATGAGTATGTGCCTGTCCAAACTCCATTACCCTCACTTACAAAAAGTTTAATTCATATTGCTATAAAAGAGATAGCCCTGGTCAGCATGGCTCAGTTGGTCGGAGCATTATGCTGTAAACCGAAGGGTCTGAGGTTCAATTCCAGTCAGGGCACATGCCTAGGCTGCAGGTTTGATCCCTGGGTGGGGTGTGTAGGAGAGGCAACTGGTTGATGTTGCTCTACCTTCCCTCCCCTCTCTCTAAAATCAATAAGCATGTCCTCAGGTAAGGATTAAAAGAAAAGAAAAAGTAGATAACATCATCAGTTTTCTCATTCTCCTTAAGGAAACAAAGGTCTACGGGTAAGGCAGCTGCCCCTGATTACAGATAATGTAGTGGCAGTACAAGGACCAGGATCCAGAGATCCTGACACCGCCCAGTGCTCCCTCTGAACAGTACTACTCTAACACCAAATTACCACACTCTCCCAAAAACTGCTAAAACTCAACTTACTGGGTAAGGAAGGGTATAAAAGCACTACATTCCTTCTAATCTCATAAACCTAAAGACAAGAGGACTACATTCTCAAGAGGGAAGGGAATGAACTGAGGATGCTCCAAAAGGCTGAAGACACTGAGAGGGAGCAGTTTCTCAGTGCTGCTTATTTCTGCTGAGAAACATTCTAAATACAGAAATGAGGTGGCAATGAGAAATCTAACTACTAAGCTCATCAACTTCAACCCCTCCCTGTTTCCTATCTTCTCCTCTCCCAAAACTGTGCTTCCTAGTTTCAAGAGCAACTACAATTTGCCTGTATTTTTAGTGCATAGGACAGTAAAATTCCATGAGGCTTTGAAATCTTCTCCCCACAGGATCTAGCAGAGTGCCTGGCACATAGTACTATTCCCAAAAAGTCCTTCCTAAATAGATGAATGGTAACAGGTGGCATATTCCTTCTTGATCATTTAAGGTACCTTGGTATGAAGATTACATATTTTTATGATAGGTTAATATCTCCTTTTCTAGCAAGCATGGGCTGGTACAATTAGAGATTACCTTTCCCTGTCCTCTAAAGCAGATAGATGAAATGCTCCTTGTTCAAGATTGAAATATTAAAATATCAAGTTTATAAAATATGGAAGTTCTAGGCTAAATTCAATGCCAAACTATCCTGAACCTATACTAAGCACACTATATACATCATATATACATATGAAGGTCTGTCTGGAAAAATTCCAGCCATTGTTAATATAAGAATTGCGGGACATCAATTTAACCTGACAGCCAAGCGGAGTGGACTGGAATGCACATGCATGAACAATGACAACTTCACTGTACTAGTCAGTGGGGGCAGTGGACAGACACCACTGAGTGAGCATGTGTACTCTGTGGCCATCACATTCAAAATGACTGAGTAGAGCAACAAATTGCATCAAATTTTGCATTAAGCTTCAACATTCCTCCATAGAAACCATCTGAATTACTCAGATGATTCAGAATTCCACAGCTATGGGCAACTGGTGACTGACAACTTCATCACAACAATGTGTCTGCTCATGCATCATGTCTCATGCACAGTATTTTGGTGAAACATCAAATCACCCAAGTGACTCAGCCCCGATACAGCCCAGATTTGGTGACCTGTGACCTCTGGCTTTTCCCAAAACTAAGGGAAGAGATTTCAGATCTTCAATGAGATTCTGGAAAATACAGCGGGACAGCTGATGGTGCCTGGAAGAATTCTGTGAGGTCCTAAGGTGCTTACTTTGAAGGGGACTGAGGTGTCATTGTCCCATGTACAATGTTTCCTGTATCTTGTGACTTCTTCAATAAATGTATTTTTCATATTACATGGGAGGATACCTTCTAGACAGACATATACATACCACACAGACATACACATACCACACAGACATACACTATTTACTTGTGCCTACTGCAGAGCTACATGCTTTATAAGCATAATCTCCCTTGCACAGCTTTTCAAGATAGTTATTTTCACTTTACAAATAAGAAAGACAAAGCTAAGAATTTAGACCATTTGCCTAAGTTCATACAACTCAATAGTAGAAGTGAGTCTTAAACCAAGACATATTCACTTATACTGGACCATCAGAGAAACTAGGAGGACATAAACACTCTAAGGAAGAGAAAAGTTAGAGGTGGAGACACCAACTGGTAATACAGCAAGCAGATGTTCCCTAAGAGAAGTAGGCAGGTGAAAGCTGGCAGAGCCTCCATAACGCCAGAGTTCTGGAATGTCTGTCATGGAGGGCCCCTTCCAGAGCTGATCATCATCCAATTCTGAACTTGAAGGGGCCTACAAATGCCACACCACAGTTCTCATTCATAGCCTTCCATGAGATTCCTTATTCTTTCTAGCTATGAACTGTGCTTATCTGAGTGTGTCCTATTTTTCACTAACCAAAAAGCATAAACTTTAGACAGTGATACCTCACTGTATGAATAATGATTATAAGTATATTGCAAAGCAACCAAGATTTTTTTTAAATTAGAAAGGATAATTAGTTTGAAAGAAATAAACTAATAGCTAATCTTCCTTATTCACTCACTGAAAGCAATCCCTTGAAGAACTATACTAGGAACAGTGACAAACATAAAATAAGCACTCAGTGAATAATGACTCACCAATTAACCTTGGTATTAATTGTCAGAATCAGAGAAACGGACTAGCTGACAAAGTTCATTTCAACTAGAATGAATGTACAATTATGTGAGGAAGGGAAACTTGCTTTATTTCATAGTTATTAAACAAATAACTATGTTTAATTAAATAATGTACTTTTAAAATCTAGAAATATGTAATCATAGTCCAGCTGTTCTCAAATACAATATTTTTGTTAAAAAACAAAAGACATTAAACACATTTTTTTGTTTTGTTTTGTTTTGTTTTGTTTTTTAAGCCACAACCAAGCTCTTGGTTTCTAGAAATATTTTGGTTCAGTAATTGTAGAGCTACTCAAAAAATAATGTCTTTGTAAGTCCATGACCAAGATATCCAGATTTTCAAATTTCTACAAAAACATAGGTGAATACCCCTCAATCATCTTTGTTTAATAATCATGATTTTTAAACACCTGTACCCCATTCCATATAATTATGGCTGAACTAAGAAGACTTATTTTCCCTCACACCTTGACGTTAGGTTCTTCTAAGAGATGCTCCCATAGAAAAATATTGTTTGCTGGTGAGAAAATGATAAAAGAACGACTAACTTGATTCTGAGAAATTACAAGTTATCTCCTGTATTGGACACACACTTAGTAGAAATTTCTACATAAAGTGTACACTTTCTTTAGGGTTTTGGCTGTGCTAGAGGATGAGCAGGTGTGGAAGGATCACTCTTATTTCACTGTAAGTAGGAAGAGGGAGATCATCAGCCCTTCTAGTTATTTATGGAACTGTTCTTTTTATAATGTTTAAGGATAACTACCTTAAAAATATGAATATCAAGTGGTGTTTCAATTTCTTCAATATGCTGCCTAAGGAACAGATGTCCCTACACATTATCTCATTTAGGAAGACTGAACTTGAATTAGCAAATACAGGGTGGGGCAAAAGTAGGTTTACAGTTGTTCATATGAAGAATAATACAATAATTAATAAATAATAATACAAGAATAAACCCTGTTTCATGTACTCATGACTGTAAACCTACTTTTGCCCCACCCTGTACAGAGTCACTTATACAAAAAACACATTTTATCAAATCCTTTACATACAATAGTTTTAATTTATGTATATACAAGGGAAAAATTTAAGCTTTTAAACTTTACAGCTCATTTTCCTCAACAAATTAAAACTTATCAAAAACAAAAATCAGTCCCCCAAGGTTGTAAAATTATTCTTCATATGGACATTATATATGAATTATTAGGCAAATAAACTAAATGTATAAGAACATGAACATTAAAACCGTAACTTAAAATATTTAGGATAAATAATTTCCATGAAAGTGCCCCCAGACACTTATGTAACATTTACTAAATGGCCAATGTGGGACTTGCCAACTACATAAAAAAGTAAAGAGGCTAAGTAATGATTTAGCGTGCTATATTTCAGCTTTGCATTTGATTCAGAAAAAAAGATTATTTACCCCCTCCTTTAGTCATTATTAAACAAACAGGTTACACAAGAAGCAAAATTACTTCTATTGAATTGACATATTTATCTTACCTGCTACCCTCATGTTTGGTTTTTCAGCCTTTGGCACTTTTCATTAAAAAAGCTCCTAAAATAAAAAGAAAAGGCAAACAGCATTAGGTCTAAAAAGAACATTCCTTCTTAGATTGAATGTGGAGAGTATTTATTAACCTAAGTGTCATGACATTCTAAGCATTCTAAAAATATTGACATCTAATAAAAGAACTCTTATGACTGGGTGTTGCCGTCTGCTGGACCATGAAAGCTACTGAGCCGAAGGTCATGTCCTCCACTGGGTCCCCCAGCTCTCAACTGAATGAACAAAGGAGGGGAAACTTGCCATCAAGTTTGTGAAGAAAAGCTAATGCCTAATTGCTGTCAGTGATCAGGCACCCATAAGGAACTCTGGATACTTAGTTTCAAACTTTCAATTTGCAATTGAGGTTCAAAGAGGTTAAGCTGCTTATCCAGTCATGGAACAAATTAGCTGCAGAATGGGATAGGGTTTAGGTCTGCTGGTTGCTGCTGCAAGTTTCACTCCACTACAGGATGCCACTTCATTTTTAGTGTGACATAACTCAAGCATCATTATGATAAGCACTTAGAGAAAAGACTTCTTAGTTTAATACCAGTGTTCTCTTCCTCCGCATGTTTTCAATTTGTTTATAAAAAAAAATTCACAAATGTATAGTAATTTTTAATATTGCGGCAATTATTATTGGCAGTGTATGTTATCCGTCAATGAAGAAATTGTCCTTTGATATTATACTAATAACAACAAATAGATACTGGGGAAAAAAAAATCTGTATATGTATATGTCCCTCCTAAGTAATAACTCAGGTAAAATTTTTAAAAGCAAATGGAAAAGCAAGTAAATGATATTAGCAGGAAGTTCATGCCCAAGTTTAGCTAGACAGCTCCTGCAGTCTATTCAGTCTATTGTACAGGAAAGGAATTCAAAAGGAAATTTTGATTAATGAATCACATTAATCAAACATACGTCTTGCCCCGGCAGGTGTGGCTAAGTGGATTAAGCGCCAGTCTACAAACCAAAAGGTCACCAGTTCAATTTCCAGTCAGGACACATGCCTGGGTTGCGGGCCAGGTTCCCAGTTGGCAACCCAGCAATTTCTCTCTCGCACATAGATTTCTCTCCCTCTCTTTCTCCTTCCTTTCCCCTCTAAAATCAAATTTTAAAAATTAAAAAAAATACGTTTTTATTTTAGACTGTACTTTCATACTGATGTTTGGTGACATCTGATCTAATGATACACACATTATGCTTCAAATAAAAATAGTGCCCCACCTCTTGAAGGACACTGAAGCGAAGTGAGACATCCAGTTTTCTTGTTCACCCACAAGGAGTAAGTGAGGGTGGGGAGCATCCAGAGTGTCAATACCCTTATGCAAATTTTCTTTCTTCTGCCTAATATACCCTGAAGAAAATACCAACAGTTGACCTAATACTGAAATGAACATTATTGATTTATTTTCCTTTGTTAGTTAGCTGAACACCTTCCACATAATAGGAAAAGTCAATGTCCTATATCTTTTTAAACTACTTAGCCACAGGCTGGAAAAATAACAAAAGGGAAGGGATTCTGAAGTATCCACAAACTAACACATAAAAGCAGAAAAAAATCCTCAGCTTTTCAAATGAAAACCCCAAGTGGTTATAAATCCTCTTTTGACTTCTAGCAAAAATGGACACTATGTTTATAACAACCACATGCTTTTCCTCCCAGCTAATGTTCCAAAATAACATCACTCTTATCTGAGTGTGACCTAGGAAAATTTCTTTGAAAGTGTGATAAGCAGTGGGGCAGACGGTGGCTGTGCTATTTCACTGTTCCATTTCTCGCTGAGGGAGCCACCCTGGCACAGTTAAGTCACTGCCTCACGCCCCTGCTGTCTCTCTGCGCTGCCTGCCACTCCTGCTTCTAAAGTGCTCACTAGTTAAGACCGTGATAGAGGCAACTACAACTGTCTTGCTGAATTCATGTTTTCCATCAAATTTTTCAGAGAATAACATTTAGTAAAATCTCTAAATTAAAATCTCATCAAATTTCAGTCCTAACACATTTTAATTAGATCGTTTAAGAAGCAAATTAATTTTATAAGAGTATAAATCAGCATAAGGAAAGACTATTGAATACATCTGAAAGCAAATTAAGGAGCATCTGTTTATGGTGTGCTAAATCCAACTCCTCTTCTTAAGAGGACATTTAAAAACAAGGAAAACCATTACACATAATCATCTTAGGGGGAGAAAGTAAAAACAATGGGATCCTGTGTAAACAGGAGGCTGAACCTCCAGCAATCAGGGAGGGACTGAACAGATCCAGAGAAAATGAACACCACAATAAAAGGGTAAAGAGGACTCTGCTAGAAATACAAATCTCTAATCCAGAAGCTACAGGTAAAAGAATTTATAATTTTCCTTATATGTTCATTAAAAGATAGAAATATAGAAATTAGATCCACTTACTAAAACTAGAATATTGACGGTAGGGGAGAGTATTTTAGGGCATATTTAAAACAAAAACACAAAAAACTCTTAAGAGTACATTTGTGAAATACATATAGGCCATAACAACAAGTTTCATTCAGTGTTTTAGATAAATGGCTGAACCAGATCGGGTTGCTAATATGTGAAGTGCACAATCACCGGGGAACCCCCTGCAAGCGTCACCACAGTGCCCCGGGGCAGTAAGACGCCCTGCTGGATAAACGCTACCTAACAATGCGACCTATCTCCAGCCAGAAGAGAGCCTAATCTAGGGCCTCAGAGCGACACACTGGAGAGCTTTGAATGTCTCATAATTTAAACATTTCCTTCAGCCCAATTATCAACGTTAGTCTGATTTAGGGAAGTTTTGTGAAAGTCAGGCAAAATGAGCAGGTTACCATCCCAGGATCAATCAATGTCAGGAAAAACAGATAAATGCTCAGGTCGATCCTTTCATCTTTCCTTGAGAAATGAACTCCAGCTACATCATTTGAATTACAAGACTATGATTCTATATAAATAAAATAAATCATAAAAATAATCATTTTCCAAGGAGGGGAAAGTTTTGGCAGTTCACATAAACCAGGTAATAATGTATTCAGTAGAGCAATTCACACACCTTCTTATTTTATGTAATCTTCCCAACAGCCCTCTAGTGTTGTGGGTATTAGGACTGCATTATAAATGAAGTCAAGGGATTTGTCTAAGGTCATATGAAGGATAAGAAAGAAACTGACACTACAAACAAATCCACTTCTTTCACCCCAGTAGCTCACTGACATACTCTAATATATGGAGCTTGTTGACAAAATTCCATGCCCATCACCCTGGCTTTTGCAAATTGCTCTGGGAATTGCTAATCTCTGCGGCCAACCCCACTCAAGATCTGACAAAATGACTAAGCATGTGTATTAGGATCTTCCTCAAAGATAGACAGAATAGAAGAAAGTGAAGCACAGAAACACATTTGTTGATATATTTAATATTAACAGTAACAATTAAACCAGAAAAAAAATACTGCAAATTATACTTCATAACTATAAAGAAACTATGCTGGTCAAATGCAATTTTAAATGAATCAACTGAGTGAAATCCATATGATTCACTTAATATTCATGTGAACTGGGGCTTTTCAAAAGGACTAAGAAAAAAAAAGGTCACAGCACAAGCAGATAGATTTAAAGTATATTTAGGTCCAGTCATGGTTAATTATGTGTCAACTTGACTGGGCCATGGAGTATCCAGGTATTTGGTTAAATATTGTTCTGGATGTTTGTGAAGGTGTTTCTAGGTAAAATTTTAATATGGCAGTTTGCTCTCCTCAACGTGAGTGGATCTCACTCATCCAATCTGTTGGAGGTCTAAACAGAACTAAAAAGTCAGAGGAAGGGAGAATTGACTGTTTACTGTCTTTGAGCTGGGGCATCAGTCTTCACCTGCCTTCAGACTTGGACTGAAACTTACACCATCAGTCCTGCTGGTTCTCAGGCCTGTGGATTCAGATGAGAACTATACCATTGGCTCTACTGCTGGATGGCTGCAGAGGTTTTGATTTCTCAGTTTCCACAACTGCAAGAGCCAACTCCTTATGATATCTATTACCTACCTACCTATCATTTCTTCTGTTTCTTTGGACTAACACAGGCCTCCTCAAATTCAAAATGTAAAAGGTTACATTTTTGTCCCAGTTCAAGAAAAAACAGTAATACTGAAATCAAAACAGGATAATGCAACTATGTCACTCAATTTTTCTCATTTTATGTAGAAACAAAAGTATATTAAAAAATTATTTGCAAAAAATCCCTTTATGTGAATAAAATAGAGAAACTGTTGGCAAACTTTTTCTGTAAAAGAGCCAGGGGGTCAGTATTTTAGGCTTTGTGGACCACACAGTCTCCATTTCAACTACTATGCTCTGCTCCGTAGCTGGAAGGCAGTCATAGACAACACATAAACCCAGGGACCCAGGTGTATTATAATTAAACTTTATTTGTGGATACTGAAACTTGAATTTCATAAAATGAAATTTGAATTTCCTAAAATTTTGTCACATTACAAAATATCACTTTTGATTTTTTAAAATCACTCAAAAATGTAAAACCCAATCTTGGCTGTGGGTCATACAGAGGCCATGGGTTGTTTTTTGTTTGTTTGGTTTTTTTTTTTTTGCCAACTTGAGATAGAGGAATAAAAAATAAAATTTAAATTAAAAAATAGTTTTAAAATAGAGGAATAAACTTTGCTGACCATACCCTAATATTCCAACATTTCTTGCTGGGCTTTCTGCAGGATGCACAAATCCCACAACGCCTGTACTGGTCCTCTTAGATGTACCACTACAGAAGACAGACAGACAGACAATCTTAAATTCTGTGTTCCATGAGGGTTTGTTATACATGTCCAGAATCAACTGCACTCCCTTGGAGATACATACACTCATGAGAAAAAACAGAACAAATCCTCTTCAGAAAAAAAGGAAAAAAAAAATTCCTTCTTTTCCAAAAATGAAGCTGTCCATTCATGGCAAAGATGTGAATAGATCTAGGTTCTGGAATATTTCCCAAAGCTGTCACAGAAG